TCTCTCCTTATCTGGTCATACATGCCCAACTCATTCCAGTATATTGAAATATTTTGTTAATTAATAATTTTCTCAATATCAGCGTTTTATGCATTATCAACGAACATGTGAGTTTTAATAATTAGTTTTGATAGTTTTGACACAAACCGCTACTTTCCGATTAAATTTAACCCGTTTCTTGTTCGTTTTAAAACAAACTGATTATAAAATCGGATTCTCTTTCAAATATCCTATGCATATCAATATCATTACGCTATAAGTAATTTTCTCATATTTTGAAACATGAGTGTTTTAAATCTAGCCAAATATTCGTATAATTATTTTGCATTCTGGCAAGAAAATTGACACAACTCAAAATTGGTCAATTTTAAGGCTACTTCAGTAATAAATAAGCATTGTGTACCTCTTATAGAAAAAATATCATGTCAAAGAACTCAAAACTATCTGCCAGGTAGTTTCATTAATAACTATATAGACATCATTAGGGATGAGAAGTTATAATAGGAAAAAAATGGCAAAATATGCACACAAAAAAAAAATAATAATAAAAAAGACGAAGATATGCATAAAAAAATTATATTATTATTAAACTTTAATTATTTAAGTATTATAAACGTATAATAAAAATATACATATACCTACGTTTTACATTTTAGGTTTGAACATTATATTATTGAAACCATACAGGTTTTGAGTTCAATTATTGTTTAATGGATAAAATTCATTAAAACTAAGTACAAATTGACTAAATACATGCATTTATATGCACAAAAAGTCATTAAATATCCTATTCTTAAAAAGTTACCAAAATATGCAAGAATATGTGAAACCAAAAAAAAACATACAAATATGAACTCACTAGGTTATAGAACAGATTTTTAGCTCACCTAACTATAAATAGAAGACATAGACAAAAATATGCAATTCTTACAACTTCTCATCCTTATATAGTCATCACTTATCATATAAATTATGTTCATCACGTCAAGAATATTATTAATGCTCATTTAATCACTATTTCTCAAACATCGCATTTTTTAGTTGTGTCGTTTTTCTCGTCTAAGTTTGAATACTATTTGTATAAAATTATATAATACGGTGTAATCTAAATTAATCAATAATCATTAATATATAAAACTGTGTGTCTGTAAATGTCAGGAACTTCCAATCAGATTTAAAAATGTAGTTTTGAATTTATATACCCCGTTTATTGAGGGCGTTTATTGAATACCTTTTATTCTAAAATTCAGCCCCTAAACATTGACTTATATAAGGTTTTCGATAATATTCGAACGAAAAACTAATTGTTTTCGTTGATTATTACGGGTCACTTATTATTATTATTACGTGGCGACACGGACAAATTAGAAACATCAAAGAAGTACCCTTTTTAATCAATAATTAATTATTGTGGTTGGTACGGCCCGGAAACGGAAAGTAACGAAGAAACATGTTTTTAAATTTGTTTTTAATATACGAAACACGTACTACACTTGAAAATCGGAATAAAATTGCTGGTAGAAAAAAAAATAAAAATAATACAATCATCATTGTAAAACCAATATACATTATCTTCGCTCCTCTCAGAGTATAAAATTACAATGGAATAATTTTAAGAATTTTAAGACCACAATGGATAAATTAAAATTATAAAGTAGTCGGCGTTTTTAAAAAATTTATCCGAATCAACGGTTAACATCGACAGTTGATTAGCATGGAAACGGGGAGTCTCGGAGAAACGCGTTTTCACATATTGTTTTACGTTTAATTTTTTTCTTTCATTCGATAAACCGACGCGGGCAAAGTCGTGCGAGACGGCTATAGCTTGTATATTATAATATTACAATCCGGGGGTCGGAATAACATTTTTTTTTTTTTTATCACTAGTGATGTTCAATCATAACTACGTGCGTACATATATAATAATGTATACCTTATATATAAAATTCTCCAGTCACGGCGTTTGTTATTGAACTCCTCCAAAACGGCTCGACCGATTTTCATGAAATTTTTCGTGGTATTAATATTTGGTAGATCTGAGAATAGGTCGTAAAGTATTTTTCACCCCGCTCATTATTTTTTAATCGCAATTTTAGTATTTTGGCTTATATATATATACAAACGAACAACACCAAACAATTTAGCTTATAATATAATAAATACAAATTTATTTTTATTGATTTACGTTACCCCGGTAACAAGGATGAAAAAAAAAATGGCGATTAATTATTATTAGAAATTAGACGGAACATATTAAGTGATCATCAAAATCGGTCCAGCCGTCCTTGAGAGTTATAAATGGTGTAGCTAACCCGACTTTATTTTATTAATGTAAGATTTTTGTTTATTCGGGGGTCGCCACGGAAAAGAAAACTATTATAGTTATTATTATTACTATTATTTACGCTATTCAAATTTCACAATGGAACACACGTAGCACACGGACTACCCACTTTTCACCTATTTGTTTTCAATTCACAATTCCAACACGGCCGAAAACCGAAAATGAATACGGGTAAAATAATAACAATACAAATTGGCGCGGGCAACTCCGGGCTCGGGACAGCTAGCTTTATTTTTATAAAATTTCGTTTCTAGTTTTCGATTGTATAATATTGTGTTATTATTATTACTATTATTATTATTATTATTATTATTATTATTATTATTATTATTATTATTATATAGGTGTACCTACTCGCTCCGAAAACGAACGTATAGATATGTATGTGTATATACGTACACGTAGTCGGGCGCGCCTCCCGCCGAGAGCTTTGTGATGGTTTTCGCGTGTTCGCGAACGTTTATAAAATATTACAAGGGTGTACATTGTGCGCGGGTACTTTCTTTTCCCATTAACACCCTCGTATAATATATATACACATATACATATAATACAGGCGAACGAATATTATTATTATTATTACGCGTGTGCGGTCTCCGCTCCGGACTACAAGACGTCCGGCGGTCGTTTTGCCGCGGAGACCGGCCCGGCCGCGTCGCGCAAGTGCCGCGACGGCGCTCCACGACCCCGCCGCTGCGGACCACCGTTTTACGCAATGCGTTTCGTTGTAAACGATTCACACCTTTCCGGGCTTATCATTATTTCGCGTACTAAACGGTTTACGATTTGGCGCGAGGACGGATATCCGAACGAGCTATCTGCGCCGCGGACGAGACCAAAAAAAAAAAAAAAAAATTCGGCTTTAGCCCGCTATTGCACTGGAGACCCTGTATGAAATATGAAAACGTCCGATTATGAAATAGGTTTACTAAATAATATTGACGGAATAACTTTTCGAAAAACAAACGGACATGGGTACTTCGCGCCATTGTTGCAGGTGAGAAGTTGGGAAGGTAGATGGGAAATTTAGTGTCTATATCTGTACGCAACGATTAACCGTTGCTAACGAAACACGATTCAAAACGAAGTTCGGTTATACGTATTCTGAAAGTTCGGTTATACGTATATTCGTAATATATTTACGGTTAAAAAAACAATAAATTTCGTAAATTGTCCCGTTTTTCCTAAGTTTTTCCCGGTTTTTCAATTTATTATGAAAACCCCTGGGAAAATCGAAAAATAACATCTTTAAAGTACCACTTCAGTTAAATTTCTTTTCAAAAAAAAGTGCTACACGTGAAAATTGGAGCAAAATTTCAGGTAGGATTCAGGTAAAATTTCCAGCTAATCACTGGGATAAAAAATAAACATCATTAAAAAACCAATAATAACATTTCTCGCTCAGCTTAGAAACTAAAATTAATTAACGTCGAATTGGCACCGACCAGTGTGTCGGAAAATTCTGAAATTTTACTCGGAATTTGCGGCTATCGGTAGGTAATTTACAGAATTTTCCATTTCTTTTGATTTCATAAACAATTAATCGATGCCAATAAATATTATAAACCGGGAATAATTTTTGAATTTTCATTTCATAGCGTTAAAATGACCCGTTTAAATTTGCCAGATTTTGCTGAGCAATTTTTTAAAAAGTCAAAATTAAATTGGAATAAAGATAAAAACAAGTTTTAATAAACTTTCTACCGATAAATAACATTGTTTTATAAAAATAACGATTTACTTTGTATGTACGGTGAAATGCGTCCCACTTTAAAGTTTTGACTTTTTAAAGTGACAATATATTAATAAATTTAAACTGTGTATTTTCATTCCCCTTCGGTCGCCTAATAATTATTATTTATGTACTGCGAACGTGTTTTACGCCCGCCTACTTTTATATTTATATCAAAATAATAATTAATAATATATTTCTTCGTGGTTTTTTATTTTTTGTTTTTAATTTAAAAAAATAAAAAACGTACGGCGAATTTATTTCTGCTCGTAGACGGAAAATCAGTAAATCCGCCGTTGTATGGGTTAATTTTAATGTGACGTCAATCCCGGTTTTTCAAAAGTCGAGTTTTTTAAATTTTTATCTATTATTGTACGAGTTTGTATATTTCGAAAATGTATGTATATATTATACACGTGTCAAAACATCATTCATCAATAAATGATTTTCACAAATCAAAAACAAATATGCGCAACATATTTTTGATCTCGCTGTTCCGAGAATCCGGATTACCGAACTCCGGCATTTCTCCCACCACAAATGCGTGTACGGTTCGGTTCGGCGTGCGCAAAAGGCCGGGTTTTTTTTTTGCTCTCGGATAATCCGGGGGACAGGTACTCCGATATTAAGATGGGCGGCGGCGGCGGCGGCAGCGGCGACGCGCGCGCGCGCGTACAGAAGGAGCGAGAGAGTGAAAACGGACGGCGGAGGCCGCGTCGTCGTCATCGCCGCAACAGCAACGGCCGGTCGTCGTCGATGACTACCGCGTACCGCACACACGCGCACGCGCGCGCGCTCGTGCACACACGTAGTTTGCCGGCCCCGCGCCACCGCCCATTGGCCGGACCGGCGCGGGTTGGGCGGAGCGACGGCGGCCGCGAGGCGCCCGCGATCCGGTCCGTTTACCCGCTGCGTCAGTCACGCCGTGGAGCCACTCGGCGTTCAACAACCCGCTGCGAACACCCCGACCGACCGACGTGCCGACGTGCGTGCATTAATATTACACACGACCTACGTGTTTACCGTGCGCCTTTTTTTTTTTATTATTATTATTATTATCATCATTATTGTTTTTATTCGGTGTTTATTGGTATAATATAATTATCATTATTCGTGTTCGATTTTTGTCTTTTTTTTTTTTTTTGATTTCGGTTTTATCGCGATCGCGTGTGTGTGCCGAAGTGCGTTTTTTTCCGGGTGTATACGCGCGGCGATGATCTGCTGCCGACGACGTTTCCGCGGTCGTCGTCGTCGTCCGAATTCATCGGGCCAATAGTTCCCCGGATATTATCGGATTCGCCGGAAGAAAAAAAACAATCGCGTTTTTTATTGACTTTTTAGACGCTATATCGTTTATTACCGTTATCGTAATTATTATTATTTCTGTTTGAAAAATACAACAATTCCGTCGCATATCACATTGCACATCCGAGGGTGTGACGCGCGTAAATGACGACCGCGTTATGTTAAATCCGTTTATGGATAACGCGCCTCTGGCCAACGGCATGGGCATCAAGATCGAGGACGATTACGTTATGGCCGCGGCCGCGTCGCAGGACCAGTACCATCACGGCAGCATGCACTACGGACAGCCGCCTCATCCACCGCCGCCGCCTCACCATCCCGGATACCCGGGGCCCAGGGACTTTTTGCACATCCGTAGGGACGTGCAAGATTACCATCACGGTCACCACGGTCCGCATCACGGCCAGCACGGCGGCTCGGACCATCATCACCTGAGCGGTCTGTACCCGGCTGTCCACCCGCACGATTTGCAGCTGCACCACCACCACCACCATAATCAGGTGTACCCGCCGCCTCCGCCTCCACCCGCGCAACCGGCACCGCTGACGGCCACCTCGTCGTCGTCGGTCGGCGGCGTCGGCTCGGTGCACGGCCGGCACAACGACTACGGCCAAGACCCGTACGGCTGCGGCGGCGGCGGCGGTGGCGGCAATCACGCGGGAGCCGGTGGCGGCGGAGGCGGTGCGTTTTACCGATACATGCGACAGGGCCCCGTGACGGCCACCGCGGCCACCGCGCTCAAAGACATGTCGTGCCTGTGGATCGACAAGCCCGGCCCGCCTATGCGCACGTGCGGCAAAATGTTCGGTTCCATGCAGGACATCGTGTCGCACATCACCGTCGAGCACGTCGGCGGGCCCGAGTGCACGACGCACGCGTGCTTCTGGCACGGTTGTGAGCGCAAGGGCCGGCCGTTCAAGGCCAAGTACAAGCTGGTCAACCACATCAGGGTGCACACCGGCGAGAAACCGTTCCCGTGCCCGTTCCAAGGATGCGGCAAGGTGTTCGCCCGGTCCGAGAATCTCAAAATACACAAGCGCACCCACACGGGTAAGTGGACACCCCTTGAAGTATAATATTCCGCATGTTTTTGGGAATTTCGTCCCGGCTCACCAAATTTTTTTTGAGTCTTGAGTATTTGGTTTTGTTCATTGTTTTTATGTTTTCCGTAGGACTGCGCAGTGTTTAATGCATTCGCATCATAGGCATATTTTTTTTCACATCTATTATTACGTTAAGTGCAATGAATGCCGCCCGAATTTTCACGATTTTCCCGTCATTTATTGGGTAACTAAATGCATGGGACGAAATGCATAATTTTTCGGCTACTAAAATTAGGTGTTTCGCGTCGACCCGTCTATAAATGCATGCGTTCACGTGCATTTTTTTTTTTTTTTTCGTTGGTTTTACTGATTGTACACTTTATCGATGGGCGATTGATAGACGATTCGGGAATACCAACATATCCGTATATAATATTGTAATAACCAAATAACCGTTATCTACGGCAAAAACCCAATCAAAATCTCCTGACTTTCGTCAAAAATAGCGAATTGAAATGAATTATACGCGTCGTATCGTGAACCTAACATCTGGAAGAAAACAATTGGAATGCGGAGGTTTAAAAAGTAACGATTTTCAGTCTGCTCAGTTAACTGGCGGGCAATAATTTATTGGATTAAGTTATAAAGCGCGTATATTATATAGTTATTATTATTATTATTTTTTTTTTTGTACTTAAGTAAATATCGGCGTTTTTTTTTTTGTATTCATCCGTTATAATATATCCCGCCCATAAAAGGATAAAAACAAAAAAAAAAAACTTCAAAGGTACTAATTTTGTTTATTACGCGCGATAAGCCCGGGAATCGCATAAATTATATAGTGTTGAAAACACGTACATCCGTGTAAGAGCGTATACCCGTGCAATAAAATTAGGGTTTTTATTATTATTATTTTTGTTTTTAGATACTAGTTGACTAGTATCCTAGATATGACTAGAGTCCGGTAATACTTTGCTATTGCTAGATAATAGTGTAAATAACAGTAATGACCCGCAATGATAATAATAATAGTTTTCCTTGACAACCAAATATCGCAGTCATCCATGTCACCAAGGTTACACCCACGAAAAACCGAAAATAAATAAATAAACAATCAGAAGATATTCAAATGAACCAAAAGAGTACCTAAAACATATTTATTGCGATTTTTTCGTAAGGATCTCTAATTTTTTTGAAAATAAAACAGCCCGTGTTACTCGCTGATAATGTATTGTTTTGTACAGGTGAAAGAAGTTTAAAATCGGTTAAACAGTTTTTGAACTTTATCCATTATACAAGCAAATCGTTTCTCTTTATAATTTTAGTATATGTATAAATATATTTAGATAGACAAACGACGATTTTTTTTTTTTTTTTTTTTTACATCGTCAATACAAATAGCGAGTTGAATTTTAATTACACTTCTGCTGCACGCGTATTGTAATTTCAATAACAAATGACTTTTGATATTTCGATTACAATGTTACATTTTCCGCAATCAAATACACAATAAATTTGAACAATTATTTGATTTCCTCGTTTAATAATTTGTTAATCCTCCCCCCCTCACGTGTTTAATATGTACCGTCCTTATTTTTAATCAATCTATGTGTACTTATATAAGAATGTTCGGAAAATAATGTTAGAAAATAACGAAAATCGGATCTTTTCGGACACCTAATACAATCATACCTAAACTTCAAATCAAAGTTCAACGCGACCTACATTTTGTAGGTTTATTTTAGGTATATTTAAGTACGAAAAACATCAAAATCGAATTATTTCGCGAGACGTGACAATTTCTGCCGTATTCGTACAAAATGTACGGTGTCTCCGACAGCCTGTTAAGCGCGCTATTTAATTTTTCTCACGAACCTCACGCGACAAAGTGAATTTCCGTTGTTAACGTAAGCGTTAGAGCGAATTGACCTATTATCAAATTTAAATTTAAGAACATTAGTTGTGTTCGTGCGTTCGTTGTATCACGATATTTCAATTTTAAAACGAGATATGAACGGTTTTAAATTGTATTATTTTGCACACCCGTAATTTACGTAATGATTGAAAATGTCGTAAACGTTCTTAACATTAAATTTTTCAGTTTATTTCGCGCTAAATACTTGAGGCTTAAATATTAAGATAATAAAGCAAGTTTGGCAATTCTGGACGTGAATTTGCCAGATTCGGACTGAGAAGACGAATAGTACGCCGACATCTTCTCAATTTCATTTTTTCAAATTGCCTTTTTATAAAACATATTTCTTCTATTGTTATTATTTTATTTTTTCGTCAACTAACTATAATTTCGACTCGATTGACATTTATTAACGTTCATTATTAACTTGTCGCACAACATTTTACTGAAAACAAAAAACAACCCCGAACTCCTGGAGCAGAGCAATGCATGGGATGTACAGCACACATTGTGCAGCGCATTACGAAATCGTCATAATATTATTACGAAACAAAGTACATACATAATATATTAAAAAATTACTAAAAAAAACAATAATAACGCGACGACGATTATAATATTTCATAAACGCCTCTTCGGAATCGTAAAAAGAAAGAAAAAACCAGACAAAAACGAAATCCAATGTTCAATTTTTTTTTTTTTCGGTATTTTTTTTCTCCTTTTTATTGTCTAATTCGTATACAAATATATACATATATATACGGGCGAATAAAAATATAATAATAACCGACTGGTTATATAGGGTGGTTATAGTCATCTCAAGCACCTCTATTGTGACCCACCCTTTTTTCTCCTTTCTTCGGACGGCTATACGACGACGAATACGCGTTTTCTATAGCTAAATAACATAATATTATCTGCGACCGCCTCCGCCGCGCTGTTATTATTTATTTATTCTTTTTATTGTTATTATTTTGTTATCGTTTATTTAGCCGGAAACTTTTTTCGAGTCCGACAAGTGTCGATATTATATTGTAACGACAACAACCGCGCGATAATAATTCGTTCGTGCGTCCGCTGAGCTTTCCCGGGCGTTTCTCGTCGCAATAACTCATTTTTCGCGCCTCCATAATCCCCAAAGAAATAAAAAATAACACCAGTTGCCTATAATGTAACGCTGCAGGTACAGCTCCGGTTTATTTATTATTTTTCGACAATAATCGCATTCTCGATGTTTGTAGCCAGCGGCGGTGATCCGAATCGCACGTCAGACAAACATACGTCTGGATTGCATACATGCCATACTTCATTCAAAAGAATCTGTCCGAATGTTTCTTTACGCCATACTTATTACTCTAATCAGCTAGTTTCATTATTTTCAATTTAGTTCACAATTTTGATTCAATGGCGGATAAAGCTATTTTCTTTTATCGATAGTTGAATCCAAGAGCTCCTACATTAAAGGGTCCACTAAATGAAAGAGCCCCTCGAAAAATGTCTACCCCAAAATAAAATCTTTAGACCAAGTGGAAAGGGTCTCATAATATTATGAATAACACGTTACAGGGGTCCGTCGGGAAAATGAGTAATGATTTATCGGAAAACACTTTTTCGGCTAGTAAAAAAAATGGTCAGATTTTTGCTAGTCATTTAAAAACGCGAAACTTAATAGTACTTTAATTGAAAACAATTTCACAAGGTTTTCGTTAACATTTTTATTAAAAAAAAACCAACAACAACAAACGTCGATACACGTCCGTTTTATTCTCGTTGATTCCTACAGCAGGGTTACCCTGATACTACGCGGCATTAAAGTAAGCCGTTGCTTTACCGCGGTTTATCGTAATCGAATGGGTTTTTTATTTTTTTTTTTTTTCAATTCTACACGAGTTGCGATATATCTGTATGAAATCATATTACATATACGAGTTTCAAAATGGCGCATTTATATTACATATGTATACCTACGCGTACAACTATTATTTTAAATCGCGCGCGCGGCAAGATTAATCGATTTTATGCGCGGCCGATTTCGCGTACGAAAGTACAGTGGGTATACAGTAGGTACGTTAAGTGGACGCCACACCCGCATGCGCGTATTACGATTTGCTGTCTCCGTCTTAGCACTGACGCACGAGCAAATTTTCGTTCGGCAGCCACAGCTTTGCGCCGTGAATATTAAATATTAAAGCGCATTGACCGGTTGCCGCGCTCAAATGTTAGAGTAACGTATTATTTGCGCAACGTTCGATTTTTGTTCACGGCGGTTTTTTTTTTAACTTTTGAGCGAGGTGATATGTGAAACATCACAAATTAAAATAACGCGAATGCTGCGGCCCGTGACGCGCTCTCAGGATACACCCCTGAGCAGTGTTATATAAATATGTTCGTTTCAAAATATCTTGAGAAATACATGAGCTAATTGCTATAATAACGATCTATACATACATATATATATATGTATGAAAGACACATAACGATATATGAATATGTAATGATAAAAATCAGATACTTGTATTGAAATATTATAAACGATTTGTATTATAACTCTGAAATTGTGTTCATAACCTGTAATCGTACGATTGAGTACGCTAAAAGTAGTAAAAGTGTACCAGATTTGTTACGTCACGTCTAGATAACAAAAGTTCGTGCGGTCGTTGTAACTGTGTTAATAATCTATCGAAATCGCTGTGAAAATTAATACGAATTGCATACTCGTATTTTACCTATTGTTTTTAATAAATTTAATAAAATTTGGCTATAAATGATTCAATCGTTTATCTCGGATAACGGCTCGCTCATTTAACATTTATCTTATAGATTAGATAAAATATAAAAATATATCTATCTATGAATAGTTTATATGGAGAAAACACAACTGCGCCTTCAAGTAAACTATAAAGTGTTAGTAATAATATTAGGGATCGTTAAGGTTTTAAGGTTAGTAGATAAATATAGTGACACGTTGAAATGATAACCGCGATATACAATAATCGGCTTATACGTCTACCGATTTGTTCAAGGCGTTATTAAGTTTCCAATAGTAGTTTTATAAATGAATAACAAAAGTCGCGTGCCGATAACAAGACCTTCAATTACTGTTGGATAAAGATGATTGTCGTGAAATTTTACGTCCAGTTAGAAAATTATTTCGGACGTTAACACGACAACAATGTTAGTCAACAAAATTTTGATCATATAAAAATGAAAAATGTACTAATATGATATAAAATGTTCAAATATATGCTGCAATATATGTCTTTAAAATATGACGATATATTCAAAAATATGCGAAATAAAATGTTATATTTAAATTATTTTAGTGACGTAAAGAGCCATACAAAATAAAAAAAAAACCTATAAACGCAAGACGTCCTGTAACCTAACAGTAATTATATTATAATATTATAAAGAACCCGCGCGTTTGCTACCGAGATCGTATTATTGGTCGTGGTCGTTAAAAAAATAACCTACCGTGACGCTAGCCCGGCCGGCCAGGTACACACCAGACTCGAAACTTGCAACATCTATCCCGACAGATTTTTTTTTCACCGAAATAATATTCATTTCGAAACACGTGTACTCGCCGGTTTAGTATTACTATAATACGCTTATGGACAGTGTGTTTTTGGGAATTTTCGAGAAAGAATCATCGCTCGAAATTGTATTCTAAAGAAAAGTAAGTAATCGGGTTTTTTTCTGTTTCGCAGTGGCAAGGAAATAACGAATATTTTAGGCAAAACGTTTTTTTTTTTTTTTTTAGGGGATACACTGCAACTCGGACTTGGCTCTAAAAGAGTCATATACAATATTTTATTTTTTTTTGTTCTCTCCCCCCCCCTTTAATATAATACGCATTGGTATTATGCCAGAAAATGGTTTTTATTGATTTGTCTGCTGCTACTGTCGCGTATATACGGTATTATATTTTAAAATAATAATAAAAAAAAATACCATTTACTGACATATTGCGGCGATTACGCGCGTGTGTGTATATTTTTTTTATTGTTTTTTTTTCCATGCCGAAGAAATTATCATTTAAAAAAACAAAACCAAAGCTTTTTGACTTCGAATAAAAGTAAATTGGTTCGATTTTGACGATTATTTTCGTGTTCAGACTCCCTACACAGCCCAAAATTCGCGGATTTACTTTTTTTTATACCATTATTTTGAAATCAAATAAGTAAATATGTTAAATCGACAGATAAGTATTATTATATTCCCGTGAAGTCATATATACGTCCCGTATGGTACATATTTTACAGCCATATACGTCTCATATAGTACCCCTAATGGGTATCGATTCGAGATTTTGTTAATAAATTTAAATTGTAAATTGTACGTAATAATAATTATTGTTATTACGCGAGTATTCTTCGGTATTAAATAATATTATTATACGCGCGGGACAACTATGCAGTGGCGGGCGAGGGGGTTGGGGAGAGGGATGTCATTATTTTAATATTTTATCGAACGAGGACATCTGAAACGGGTTTATATATTATTATTATACGTTTTTTTTTTTTTTTTTTTTATAGGTTGTTCTATAAACAAAATAAATTACACGTTCGCGCATTATGAATGGTAGGTATAGGTATAGGTAGTTAATATACGCGTACGCGGGGAGTGGGGGGAGAAGAGATGGGAAAAAAACTGGTTCTCGTACCGAGCATAAATTTCGAAAAACCGTTCTCCTACAACTCCTCTCCGAGATTGGGTGGAAAAATATTATTATAAATGGCCCGATATTATAATAATAACGCCGTATATACATATATATACAACGGCAGCGTTGGCCATAAATTTCGTGTTTTTATGCGCCTCGGAAAGTTTCCAGCCCGTTTTTTAACACATACGACACACCGCAACACTCTGTATGCGTATATACGCATATTGTGTTACATTATAACAAAATAATTTTACGCATTCGATCAATATATTGTAATATTATTCCCGCGCGTTCGAGTAGGTACCTACTGGATGTTGTAATCGTATTGTCACACTATCGCGCGATACAATAATACGAGAGTCGGTGATGTCCTGCAAACGACGCAGTTAGTGGTCTTGAGGAACGGGTGGGGGGGAGGGGGAGTTTAGCGCCTCGAAATTCTGTCAACCTCCGTTCCTCCTCCTGATCAAGTTGTTTTTGTCGAGTAAATAACACGCGGCCAGTGCAGATGTCACAGCAATCCACGAGTGTAGAAAAATCGGCCGGATTCGAATGTTCGCATATCTAATATTGAACGACTGAAATGACGCCCCGGGATAGCAGGCGAAAATATAGAAAACGCTATCAATATGTGCATAATCAATAATATATAAGCCCCCTCCCCAACACCCCGAAAAAATTATTATGGGTCTTTCACGCGAAAAACGGTCCACAAAAAGTAATCATTTAATGCGTAGATCCAAACGCGATTTTCGGCCGTCGCGGTTTAACGCGCGTGTAAACCGACTGTACTTATAATTTGAAAAAAAAAGAAGCCATCTTATGTTGTACCTATAATATTATTACACAAGCTGACGAAAAAAAAAAGCGCGATAAAAACGTCACATCGCGCCCGAGTTTAAGCGTATAAATAATATTATAATAATATACAAACCGCTCGTCACGTGCTCGAAATATTATGTTTACAGTATAATAATGTATATGTATATATATTATTGTGTATCTAAACGAAAAGATTTTTTTTTTTCTTTTTCTGGATTAAGATCTTATCCGCCACCTCGCGTGCTATCTATCGGTATTATATACAGGTAGGCGCACGAATAAAAAATAATATACATATATAACAACGCCGAAATTGTTCGGAATGTGTATACATTATATAGTAACAGCAACTATTGTGTACCTACATAAAAAGCGATTATTATTATTATTATTATTATTTTTTTTTTTCGAGCGGTTGTTATAAGTTTTGAAAAAACAATAATAACCGTAGCCGCGTATTTACATACTTATTACTCGTTTTTAAACAATATCATACAATAATAATACAACCCATTCAAAATGACCTTATAAGCCATTTTACGTATGTAGTTATAAACTCCTACACAAAAATATTATTTACAATGTCCCACTATCGTATTACAAAGATGTGTAAGTTCCTACAGAATTAGTGGTCCCCTAACGCGATCACTGCAATTTTGTTTAACGTTTGTATACAATATTTTATAATAACAATAAAGTAATCTAAATATTTAAAATATCCTTTCTTTCGGAAATCTTTAATGTTGTATACGCACATTTTCAATTAGTTCCCATCTACTATAGTTTTTTCCATCTGCAACAGTGGCACACCCGTTAACAGATCAACTATTTTTTTTATATTGTATTACTAAAATGTTCCCAAATAATACATTTCGCAAAAAAGTTAGGTCAGTTACTTTAAGTTATAAACAATTTTTAAGACGGTTTCCAAATTTTCTCAGATTTCGTAAAAATTTAAAACTTTTTGTTTACATTCCAATGGCCATTTAAATGATAAAAACTGTTCCATTAATCTACTGTCCGTTACCTTTTTCAGGGAAAGGGTTACGATCGTTTAAACGAACGAATATATCGAACGTTTTAGACCGAACGGCCAGACAGAACTGTAAGAAATGCGATTGACAGATTTTAATTTTGAAAACGTATTACGATATTTCGGGTTATTTACTAGGTTAGAAATTATTATTTTTTAAATTTCGTTCTTTGGATGATAACATACGTAAAAGGCAAAACACTCTAAGCGCATTTTTCAAATATTTTCGAAAACACAATACAAAATCATTCACGATATCCGGTAAAATAATTGCATTTCTATTTCTACCGTACGCCCTATAGTAAAACGCCTTAAGAACCATCACGCACTAGGATTTCGAAACCCGTCAAACGCAACATCTCTCTACAGCTTTTAGGTGTGAAATCGAGCCGTGAAATATGTGCGGTTTTCGTATATAGTACACGTACTTTTGTTCTTCGATACCCGTACAGCGCGTATCGAACGAAGGCGGTTTCCCTATTTAGGCGTATATCCGTTTATTTTCGTAGGAGTTTACGACCCGCAGTAAAAAAAAAAAAAAAAAAAAAACAAAAAATTCGTCCGATCAATTCCCGTCCATTTTTTCGAGGACGTACGCGCGGCGCTTAGGCGTACGGTTATTGTGGCGTTCGAAGAACACTGCAGTGTTACACGTTTTTTTCGGGTACAGCTCGAGTTCTTGCGGTTTCGGTATGTGATTATGTTTAGGCGCGAGTACTTAATACACGCGTTTGCGGTTAGGGCGCACACGTAATGTCAAACAGCCCGTTATAATCGTTACTCCGCGGTAAATGAAATGTTACGATTTTCGGTTTCGGTCCTCCTGGCGACCGCGAAAAAACCCGGCGGCGTCGCGAGATTACACGCGTACGTGTACCCAATCGCGAGGCGACAACGACGGTTTTCGGAATAGAAACGTGTGTGTGTGTTTTGTTTCATCGCTCTCTCCGCAGTCTCTGTTTAACGTAATAAATGTAACGGCGGCGCGGGGACGTCCCCGTGGCGGATAAAAAAAAAATTTAAAAAAAAAAAAAACCCCCCGAAAAAAAAACATGGCCGATAATATTTTTCCGAAATCATCCAGCGGGAAGGGGTTGGTGGGGGTACACGCGAGAGGAGCAGCGCCCCAACGGCGCGAACGGGTTATATATATATATATATATAATAAGCGCGAAACAGACAATGACAATCTACACACGCGCACGGTGCACACACGTGTGACAATATAATATATTATTGTTATTATTATTATTATTATTATATATCGAGTATTTATAAAATGTAAGTACGGGACCGGGGCGAATGGCCGGCGGGGTCGTCGCTGCAGTCCTCTCGTCGTCGCGGCATTAAGAATTACTAATGAGACGGAAACGGCCGGCGCATAATACGGACGAGGGGTTTTTGCCCTAAATACAATACAGTGTATATATATAAATATATATATACAGTTACTATTATGCGCGTACATTACCGCGCGGTATAAACCGTATATACAATACCGGATGGTAACGACCGCGAATTACGCCCCTGACGATGTCCCCGGACCCTCTCGTCGGTGTGTGTGTGTGTGTGTGTCTGTGCGTATTCATATATACAGTGTGTCGCAGCACACACTGTATACGTGTATTATGTATAGGTTAGGATAATAATAATAATCGTATCCGTCCCGTTACCATCAGCGCGACCACGATGACTACCGGCCTCGACCCCGAGGAGCCGCGCTGAAAACGTCCGCCGACGCTTTTCGCGTTCCGTTCGGCTCCTATCGTTTTCGGCCTTTCTGGCGGTCTCTCTCTCTCTCTCTCCTTGTAAATATATACATACATAACAATACGGTTTAGTCTCGCTTTAGTCTCAGTCCTCTCTCCTCGTCGCTCTCCTTTCTCTCGCCCTCTCTCATTCCCTTTCTGCGTGCAGGCTCTCTCGGCGTTAATATTAACGGTCGAACCTATACATTATAATATTTCGATAACTGCGGCAACCCGTGCGGTACACAACGTAAGTCCCTCGGCTTACGCAATGCGGTCTCATCGCTCGTATTCTGGGTGTATAATAATCATATAATAATATTATAATATATTAATATAATATCGCGGGGTTCGGACCTTTGGACCGTTTAAACCGATTTATATTAGAAAAAAAAAAAGAAAGACCGATGGGTTTCCCAATGTTTTAGAGAAAAGTTGAAAGGGAATAAATATAGAGTAATTTAATATGCGCAACGATGGACCATTATTAGGGAAAAACGATTATCTATATTATTAATCGTTTTTTTCTCCGATTGCTCATTAAAAATCCAACAATTTTACAGTTTTCAGTTCCCCCCCCCCCATTTATTGAGAAAAATACAAAAAAACAAATTTTAAAAAATCTTTCTCGACACACCAAAATTATCATAAACACCGTAAACGCTACAAGAAAGTTCCTATTAAGTTTTCGATTGGAGCAAAATTTCCAGTAGAAAAGTTTTTTGCAGATACCAAAAACAGTTAATAATACCAATATAAGTTCTCCATTAGAGGGGAAATTATTTTATCGAGTCCGTTATGTGATTATTTTTATTATGCGATATCGACCTGGACGGGTCTGAGAGAAACACAGTTCGAGAAAATTATCGACCCAAAAAATCAACGATATTCTCATATTTTTTCCCCCGAATCATTTAATGACTTTTTCCCTGCATTTCGTTAAAGTTTTCTGTTTTGCTAAAAATTCGGTATGTTGATATTTTTACAATAAGAATAAAAAATAATGATAATAATAATAAAAAATAAATACTAGCATGTATACGTCATTCAAAAAAAAGGTAGTTTATTATAATATTTATTTTCGTGGTGGTAAAACTACGCGCGCCCATCACTCGATCGTATCAAATTTTAAACTGGTTTTTGATATTTTTATCGTTTTTTTTTTTTTTTTGTTACTGTAAATTATTACCCTGTGCCTCGGGCCGGTTAATGTTATTTTATAATGTAGGTGCTATATTTCTATTATTGTGTTTAACTCGTTACATAATTTAGTTGGGCAATGTGCAGATACATTAAGTATCCGTCCATAACTGTACCGAATCGGAAATATTGCTTATTTAATCAAAAGCGCCCGGTCATATTTGTACATAGGTCCCTCTTGATTTCGCTTAGAATCGGTGTTGCGCACGGTTAGGAATTTTGAATGGTCTTGATTATTGGTCTTTGAATACGATATTAGATAATAACGTATACAGCCGATGTGGACAATTTTTTGTTCGGGAATTTCAGATTTTATCATAAATATAATAAAAAGTCTAATCCGGTGTCTATCGAAAATTATCGCAGTTTGTTTATTGTTCGTTATCTCCCGTGGACTTTCGGATGAAAAGGTCAAATCTGTCGCGGTTTGCCGTCGGTCTTTTGTAGACGATCGATGAGTTTAGACGATATACGAGACACTGCGTAGACCCGCGGGGTGGAAACGCGGTAGAACCTTTCGCATGCGGACGAAGAGGGCCGCGAAACGCGCGCGTACGCCGGATTCATTTTTAAAAAGAACTTTACCCGGTACTCCGCGTCGGCGGCGGCTGCCGGCAAAGGCAGCTGTATCACTACAATTATGCAACGTACGTGTATAGGTACTACGGCCTCGGTGATCGGTGATCGGGGGGAGGGGGTGGGCGCGTATCTCAATTACGGAAAGAAGAAAAAACCCGCGCGCACCGATAACCCTACATACTCGGGTAATGGACACGGTAGATGATATACGCCGATCGGTGCGCAATAACAGCAACGTGTGTTGAGGTACGGTTTCCCTTGCGCGAACCGCGAACGCGATCCGATCTAAGATCGCGCGACTACTGATAAAATGTAAATTAAATACAGTTGGTTTTCCTTGCGCGATCGCGATCGGCGAACTAAATTCGATCGCGGCGCGATTAATTTGTTATTTTGAAAGAAAATCATGATATGAGTATATGACATTCATTTATGATTGACTGCTGGTTGACGTTGGTCGTGTCTTTCAACAATGAGTGCTCCANAAAGTAGAAGATGAAGTTATTGGTTTCCTTATAAAAAAAAGTTGGATTTAAGGCTAGGTCGTCTCTTATTAAATTTAAAATAAAATCAAACTGATTACGATTTATTCTAAAAAATTCTCGAAATTTGATTTCATTATTTTTCAAATGACCGTTGATTAGTATTTCGTAATAACCTTCCGTACTTCTCTTTGTAAATAATTGATCATGGCCTTTTCTTTTTTCTTCTGACAAATATAAGAGCAAAACGTCATCATCGTCTTCTTCAAAAAGAATTTTCAATATATTTTAGGTCGTCAGATGTAACCATTATAATTTAAAAATTCACAGTATGTTCGTTTATACCGTTCACTGGAGTACTTCGCACATCAAAATATTAAGTACGGCTGAATGATGAGATATAAATTACTCTCGGTCGCGACGTAAAATCGTTCAGAATAAACCAAGACGATGCGAACGCGATCTTCTAGTTCGTCGATCGCGTTCGCCGACCGCGTTCGCGATCGCGCGAGGGAAACCGTACCTGCCGAGACGATGAAAAAATGTAGACGGTGATCGGCCTCGCGACGTGTTCCTTGCCTGACCGTACAGTAACAATTACCCGTGCGCGGTTTGTCGCGCCGCCGTCTCGTCGATTAGCGCCCGTCAGCGTCTCGGGGAGCGACGCGCACGTCGCGAGTATCATTTACACTCAACCGGCGGCGGCGGCGGCGGCGGCGGGGGACGCCGGTCGATATTATGCCGCGAGATCCGAGACGACGATATCGTTAATAACAATAACAACAACAATAATAACAATACGCGCGTGTAATGTGCTCGGCGGGATTTCGGTTCATTAGCGCGGCGACGGCCGTACGCAGTGTGTTACGTAACAGGTATCTCGGGCGCAATATTATCGCGCGTCGGACAGGGCGGCGCGCGTACACGCGTCGAGGCGTGTGCCGAGTGGTGAACGACGGCGGCGACCCCGCGGAAACGCTGGAAACGTCGCGCGGTCACCTGACCGTCGTCGTGGTCGTCGCGGTCGTCGTCGTGACATACGCGGTCATTTGCATACGGCGGGACGGTATTACGTACGCGCGCGTACAGATTAAAAAAACGAGATATTTATAATACGCGTGTTATGCTGTACGCGCGCACACTTGCAACTGACTGCGTACACACACGAATGTGTTGCGCGCGAGCGCGCGCGCGTGTGTACGCGTACACACCGCCACCCCGAAAACCGCATTCCACAGTTGATGACTTCTGATCTCCCGAAACTGGACGGGCGCGAGAGCCGGCGCGCGCGACCCGGCGGATCCCCGCGATAGGCGGACGGCGGTTAGATTCGGTTGTTTTTTTTTTTTCCACTCAAATACGTATATACATAAGGTATATGCGATCGTGTAAAACATAATAAAACGCGTATAATATATATATGTGTGTGTGTGTATACATGTATACACAGTGAAAATAAAAAAAAAAAAATTAAAAAATAAACACGCGCGCGCGTTACAATATACCTGCCTATACGGTCCGCGGAGCCGGACGCGTGCGCGTATTATTTGTCACACGCGAGACAAACGTTTAAAATCTAATCTAAATGAAATCTGTTGGAGGAAAAAAAAACGATACTTAACGATCCGGCCACCATCGGCCGCGTATACGTATACATATATGTATATAATATGACGGTAGGTAGTCCGTATATTATATACACGCTCGTATGATAATAATACGTATTATTACAATGTGCTATATTAATCGTATGCGTGTATAGTTGTGCCTATCGTGTTTCAAAACGATTGCGATATTATCGTATATATACCTAGTGTCTTTTGGGAAAAAGTCGATTTTCTTTATCTATAACATTCGACGCGGACGAATTGAATTTCGGATATTGCCAGAGAAAACGTATACAACAACACGTGGTTGCTAAACGGTCAAATTGCACCTACACAATTTATTCGATCGTTATAGGTACCTAACTATGCGGTATCAGTGAATGTATAATATATAACACGTGTCTAAATACTACTAATAAAATACGATTGCAAATAAATGGTTCAAATCACAATACGGTTTGATATCGCGCGAATTTTAAGTGGACGTGATACTCGCACGTTCAGTCTCTGTCGACACGGCAAAATCGCGATGCCGAGACAATAAATCGTGATGTTCGGGTTGGAATTAAGAGTTTAAACGCTGGTAACGGAGTTGAAATGAATGGATATTTCCGAGGGCGGTTTGTATTTATTTTTTTTTCAAAAAAAAACCGTCGTACAAAGGGTGTCGAAAATGTATTAGAATATATTATACATGTACTTATTTATACCGAAAAATGAAGGTGAAAAAATCACATAAAAAAAAATTTTAGGCCCTTCTTCACGAGGACCAAAGAGATCTCGTGTTTATTTCTCTCTCTCTCTCTCTCTTTTAAACATACTAAAATTTTCTCGTCTGACCTCCTTCCCGGTTACATTTACGCCGGTCTCACGAAATCGACTACGCGGTTTTTTTAATTTTTTTTATTTTACCGGAATTTGGCCAATACGACGATGCCTAATAAAAAGTCTAGTGTATACGCGTGTGTTATAATACATATACAATAATTATGGTACCTGCAGGACCTTACGATTCCAAAACCATTTAGTATAATTGTTTTTGTTATTTGAATGCGTACTCACAGTTGGTACACACGCACGAAAGTGACGTTTGTTCGGTATTTCGCGGTACACGCCTACGCGATCTTCTTGGAAAACCTCATTTCATCATTATCCACGTCCGTCCGGCCGATACATTTTGCGTTGCCTGTGCTAAAATAAATAGTAATAGTTTACATAAGTTTTTTTTTTTTTCGGTTTGTTTTAATTAATTTCGTCCGCGTCGCCAAGGCGACCCGTACCAGTCGACGGAAATGATTAGATTTTCGTATGGAAAACACCGACAATCCCCGTGTGAATATTTACAATACATTATTGTTTCATTGTAACGCGAAAGCGCGCGTTTAAAATATTCGAACGGTATGTGGGTCAAAAAGTCGTATGATATGGTCTCGTATACATATTATACGCGGGCGGTGTGCGGTACCGCTGCCGTGGCCCCGGTCCCGGTGTTTTATAAACCGGTGGGAGGTACTTGCGTTCATAAAAAAAAAAAAAAAACTATATTTTCATTCAGACAACGATAATTTGTCTGATCTAATATGTATAATATAATATTCCCCGCGTGACAGATGGTACCTATACGTACATGCATACACGGGTGTACGCGTATTATTAATATTGTATATTATTGTATATATAGCAGCCATGTTAGCGCAGAGATCATCCATTGGCTGCGCGCGTACAAACACTGGTGTAACCGTTTCCCCGCGCGGCCACCCCTTTATCGATCCGGTGCAGTGTATTCCCCTCCGGCGTGTGTGTGTGTGTGCGTGCGTGTTTGTCCTCCCCTCCGTACATAGATATAATATTTGTGTGAATGTGTGTGTGTGTGTGTGTGTATACTGTATATATCCACAATCCATACGTGTATGCATATATACAAACTCGATCGTCGCCGTTTCCGCCGTACACACACGCGCGCGCGGGCGCACACACACAGTCGCGTGTATATAATATTATGATCGCGTATATGTAATAATCGTGAAGTGAAAAAAAAGATACGGTAAAGAGGAGAAAAAAATAAAACCATAGAGGACAAAAAAAAGACCCTTCGTCGGTAATCCGAATACGTCTGTTACGTCCCTCCGCGCGCGCTCACGCACGCCACAGCAGCTCTCGAAATCGTCCTCCGCGACGGTCCTCGGTGCGGCGCGGTTTAAAAACTTAATCAAGTCCTCGTCATCGATGTAATAAGTAAAGTACTGAAGTCTCAGAGACGCCGTGTGTCGTGTTGTCTACACGGACATATATAATATTGCATGCTGATGACACCGAAAAAATCAACTGACCGTTATTATAACATAAACGAGTTCTGCCCAACTCTGAACATTTCCTGGTAGGTAGCATCTTGACTCGACGGTTACACGAATTTACCGGGATTACAACAGCCAATCGGGAAAAACGAGCCGCATACGACGTATACGACGGTTTTATATTTATCATAACTTTAATACCAATAGGTGACTAAATAAACACAGGTAAATATCAACAAAAATACGCGTTTTCCCTATTACTGTCACGTTCTCCTGACGAACACAAAAAGAAATGACACAGTAACTATTTGCGCAATAACCGTAATCACAATAAACTATTATTTTCTAATCGGATATAATTTCTTTTCTCGTAGTTTCGTTATAATTTATAAACCATTGATAAAGGAATACTGTGACGGGCTAGACACACGCGGAAAACCTAAAACCAACCAAATATCATTACTGAAATAAAAGAACCCGATTAAAAAAAGGTTTTTGGGTAGACCGAGGATGAGGTGGGAAGACGTGGTAAAAATGTAAATTGTGAACGTTTTAAGAGTTGGACAGTTTAAGAGGTGAACCAATAGGTGAAGATAGCTGGAAGATTGGTTGTGATGGTTCTAGAAGCCGAATAGTTCTGAATAATAACCGAATTCGACGAAGTAGTCGAAATAAAAAAGAAATCGAGCACAAAACAACATCATAACTTATAACCATAATGTTTTTCCGTTGCTTAGAGATCATAATAGTTTACTGTGTTTATTTACTTTGTGGTTACCTACTGTCATAATGTCGTCATAATGAGACATTTTCTTTTTTAATCTCTATCCGCTGACAATAATAATAACAAGAGTGACGTTTTATTTTCTATCGTATTACACCCTTTCTCCCCGACAAATCATTATCTATATTTGAAATGCTCTTTTGACTCGTTCCTCGTGTTTCTTACCAACCTCAACTCGGCGGAGATTTGTTTTTAATATATATATATATATTTGCGTTTTTCGTTAGTAAAACACGATCAATTATAATATTTCAAGCGACACCCCGCAGCACAAAACACCTCGTGTAATGTTTTACTTTATCAATCTCTATTAGTATATTATACTTTTTGTTTACTCTTTTGATATCGGCAAAATCCCGATAACGAGCCACGATACATAAAATTATACTATTATTACATGTATGTGTATTATTTATTGTGTATGATCGTCGGCTATATAATACGGCGTAGCGCGATAATTAGGGGGCGTGCGCCGTACACCGTGTAACGCGGATTTTCTTTTCACCCCTTGGGCTCGTTTTGTCGGCTTCGCTGATCCCGTATAAAAGCCCTTTAAATCCCGGGTTTTCAATATTAAATCGGGCTTATGTACCGAGTGCAGCAACAGCAGCAGCAGTACAACACCCGAACGATAGTATAATATAATACTATTTTCGTATATATATATATATGTATACGCGTTTGTGTATACCGGTATAATAATATAATAATAATATACTGTCGCACAATATGGCCCCGCGAGTGGAACGACACAACAACAACAATATAATAATGGCCATCGATTTTACGGTCGTGAGAATCGCTGCGAAAACTAGACGCGTAAAGACTACGCGAACAAAATAATTCGTCTACGATAACAGCGTATACTCAATGCGTTCTCGCGAGCATATAATATACACGACAGAAAACGTACACCCTGTACCGTGCAGTGTATCACCGTTTTTCGACCTTTGGGCGGCGACCCGAACTCAACACGCCGCAAAATTGTATCAATTGAAAAACAAAGATGTATTAAAAATCAAAAACATTTTGAAACAAGAAAAAAAAACGAAAGGCGTAGGCCCAACAAGTTAAAATGTTGCCTAATCCTTCAATGCAATTCATTTTATCCGATCACATGATACCGGAAAATATAATACTGTTTACGGAATTTGTATCTAAATTTTAATTTGATAATTTAGTAATTGATATATTACATGTGTAAAGAGGGTAGAGGGTACAAGACACAACTTCTACCGTTAAACTATAATAATTTATATTTATTTAAAAACGATTTGCACGGAAAATGGGGTAAATATCTTGGGTCACATATACACAAAACTTGAAAACTACTGATGTGTATTAAAAAGTCAATAAATAATATTAAATTAATATTAAGTTTATTTTAAAAAAAATTAACGGTTAAACACTGCGATAAAAGTTTACTGTAGTCGTATCAATAATGTAACTAATAGTTAAGTTAGTTTGAAAATTTAACTAACTTTTTAACTTGAGTTGAGATAATTTTGTTTTTAATTTTTTATTGCTATCCTAAACAATTATTAAACCATAGTTTTTATTTGTTTTAATAAAAATATTTGATGTTAAAAACGAGGGGGTTGATTCGGAAATATAAAATTACGTATATCTATACTTATTTGAAGTTCTGAACTCCACGCGCGTAATTGTGTAAATCAAAAAAAAGTATAATTTATACGATGACACTTATATTCAAATAGTGTGCAGATTGTACATTTAAAATTGTGTAAATTGAAAACCTTGCTATTAACTTAAAATGTAATGTAATTCGAATAATGGGAAAAAAATAAACCTAGTTAAAAGTTAAGTTAGTAAATCCTCGAAATTACAATTAACTGAACTATTAATAAGTAATAACTTGTTAATACTTTTTAACACGTTAGTGCGAGTGCAAGTGTAAATTGTATATTTATATTACATAATATTTTTCGCGGGCCGTAGTAGTGCAAAATGTACCGAACCAAAACACTATAACAAAATAAAAATCAATCATCGCCCACGAATATTGAATAATATATTTCTATTAAAGATTTCCAGTGTATTTGTACCTATACACAATAACGGTGGCGTCGTCGTTACGGTTTTTTAAATTTTTTTTATTAAAGACTGCAGAAGTAAAAAATTCACGCGATGATGTAGTGCCAACTTAAAATAAAACGCGCTCTCAGAATAACCTTCACCATCATGAGTGTTGAAATTCGATAAATAACTTTAAAGAGTTTTTTAAATACCTGTAAAACGAAAAGTGATTTATCAACCGTCGTAACAATATTAATTTATGTTTTAAAATTAATTACAATTTAGAACTACGCAATTTTAAAATATCACTAATCGCACGTACAAGTTTACTTTTTTTGTGAGTTAATATACACTATATAGGCAGTGTGAAAACAGAATTCACGAAACCATTTCGTCATTTTCCATAGTAAAATGCGGCATATTTAATGATATTTTTATCCGTGAAATTATTATAAAACTCGTTATTTTACTTGCCATGTATAGTGACCGCCACAATTGAATAACTGTCATTATAACGGGCAATGCAAAATAAATATTGTGTTCTCGTAAAACAAACGAAAAAACCTTTTTAATCGGTTTTAAAGATAAAGACATATGTTAAAATTTGTAAATAACAATATTTTGAAGATAACTTATTGGGAGATTTTTTTTAAAATTATTAATTCAAAAAAAAAAATTGCAGTTATTTAAAAAAAAAAAATATAGATAAACGATTGTTTATTACATTTAATATAGTACCGTCATCGGCGATGAATTGAATATTTAAAGAATATTATTGTTGTCGTCTTCCGTAAAGTATACATTTTATAAGTGTCTTATCTATGTAATATAAAATAGATTTTAAAGGCCTTTTCGCGATATAATTGTTTTACACGAACGCCATTTTTCGCAATATTTATCCGTTAAAAAGACGGCCGATTTAACCACGACGGTATTTTATTGGATAATCGTTTACATGGGTAATATTTAACTCGTTAAAGGTATGATATCTACGCGAGATAAATGTGCGGAATAAAAACAGAATTAACGTACGCTATAAAAAAAAAAAATCCATTTAACAAACGAGTGTATCCTATATAATGTACCTATATACATAGAGACTCTTATATTCTTTTTTTTTGTTTCGCGTGACAAGCACGTTGTTCAAAGTACGAGTACCTATATACATTATAATATAATCGAGTCCGACTATATCAAAGAGTAGTGTTTTATTGTTTGTTTAAATTAAGTTCCGACGTGTAGTATTTACTGCGGTGTGTATAGTGTATTTTATTCAATCGACGAATTCCCCTCCGCGGCCCGACGCTCTTAAAATTCGAGTATTAATTAAACGACCTCCTCCATTCAAGACGACGCACGTGTAATAATAATATTACGCGTCACGTAGTAGAATTTCCTGCATTTATTAAAGAGCAGCCGGTGCAGAAGTAACGCGTTTGTAATCTCATTGACACTGATGTAAATACGATAATATTAATTTTTTTCTTTGCGACAGTATGTATACCGCTGCAGTGAATTGCTGAAGAATTAAAGCGATGATGTTATAGTGTAAAAACCATCATCGTATTAATGAAGGCGCCCGGCATTTAGAACTTCTCCCCCTCTCCCACCAGATTTTTCATTCACTTCAATTTTATTTTTTGTTGAAAAGCGCCCGCGTAATAATTGCGGAAAAGCGTAATAAATAAATATGAATAAGATAAAAACAAAATCTTAAGAGGGACGGGGCGAGTGGAAAAACTAAGTAATACGAGAAGACGATAACTCTACAAGAGTCAAGACGACAAAAACAAAGTTCGGACCCGCCTCAACAACAATATAATCGGAAATAATAATAATATAAAGTCGTAAATGTTTTGTGCGAAAAAAAACGACGGTTAAGAGGACGCCGCCGCCATGACCGCAACGACCGTCTCCGTCATTAAAACCCGCGACGTAACGAATTTACTTTCAGAAAGACACATTTTGTACCGTTAATTTTCGACATTAGAGATAATTGATCTATTACTGAATTTCAAGTGTAGAACACCGTCTGTTTTCCCGCGTCAACGTTTTTTCGATGTATCAATTTCTAAGCGAGATATTAGCGTTTTTAAATCACGAAATTTCCCGTACTCGTATATCTCGTATGGTCAAAGCTGATAATGTTCTCTCGGGTAATGATAATCAATCCATTATGTGCTGAAGTTAATAAAACCGAAGGCGCGAAATGTATCTTTAACCGTGTCGCGCGGAGACGGCGAACGCGCGTGTCCATTCGAGGCGAACGAAGGTTTACCCGTTTGAAGACCGCCCACCGCAGAGCATTAGCTTTTATGCATTTTGTATTGAATAAACTCGGGTAGGGTGTACATGGTTGGGAAAAAAAGTCGAGTACACCAGTGGTTTCCTGTAAATATTTACACAGAGTTCCGCGGGCGTTGTAATTTTATATTGTAATACCCGACACCGCGGATGCTCCGGCGGCTCCTGCCCTCCGCCGACAGTCCGGTACACAAAGTAAATGGTGGTAAATCCGTCTTTTGTCGAAGGCGAATACACACGTGCACACTTGGCCAGTCAAGAGCCTTTTTCGCGCGCGCATAATACGTATAATACGTACCTATACCTATACGTACCTACACGCGATCATCCGAAGGATGCAGCAGCTATATATACGAGTATGTATAGCGGTCACAATGAAGTGCCAAGTGACCGGGATTCCGCAGTGTATTTCTTTCCGTCCCGGCGAATATTACCTACCTATACGTGCGCGCTATACGTTTTTATATTTATATTCTATATAATATTATATTATATTTTAATATATAGAATATTATATTATATTATTCGCGTATTATTATTATTATTATGTGCTGTGCGCGTTATTATTAACCGTCGTCGTCGTCATTATTGTGCGGCTGCGGCTTCTTTGTTGTGATGCGGTATTTCGAATCGAGAAACCCGCGGACCCGAGAGCCGGGTGCGTTAAAAAAAAAAAAATAATAATAATAATAACAACACTATATACTCGTAGGTACTGTACGTATGGGGTACACGCGGTCGTGTAACACAAAGATCCCGTATACGGGTACACCGAAAGGGAACGCCGTACAAAGTAATAATAATAATAGTCGCCGGACCTATGGTCGTCGCGATGGCAGACGTACAGTCGCCGCCGTCAGAAAGAGTTGTGGTGACACGGTGATGCCTGTCCTCGGGTATTGTCGCTCGCACCGTGGGCCGGCCGTTTCGAAACCCTTTTGCCGCGGATTTCCGAGAAGATTATCCGGACGGCGGCGAACACATAGGATAAAACGTCGACACATGAGTACGTCTGTCGCGCAAACTCTTGTCGTCCGTCATACCCGCAGCAGTATTATAACCCGATCGCATATTGTTCCCGCGAATCCCGGTCAAAACAGCGTACACGCCGCACCAGCGTCTTTTACTCCTTTTCTCTCCGAGGATTCGGCGGTTTTATATAGAATTTCGCTCGCCCGCGACCTGCGACGTTGTCATCAAAAATCGTTTTCGGACGCGTTTAAAATGCGGCAAAATTTTATTGCATTCTCATCTCTGCGGGCATTTCATATTATGTAAATTGTTTAAATCGTATAGCTCCCGCGCCGCGATGTCACCAACGTTATAGCGATCGTTATAGGGCCCGCAGCTGTTCCCGAGGATTTATACGGATTTATCCCACGGATCAAGATTCAAACGATGTACACAGAACGAACGGCATAGATCTACGCATAAATAGACATATTAGGAGATTATCCGCATAACATATCTGATGAAGTTAGAGAGATAACTAAAAAAAAACTTGTGTGAACGTCGTAAAGAGGGATTTTAGTCAAACGGCAAAGCTGAGCACTAAATAGTTATAAAGTTAGGATTAAATCAACAACTTTCATTTGTAAGTAACTTTAAACTTAATCAATTAGTTTCATTTTTAAACAACATTTTTACTTCGCGTATTGTTTTGGATACAATAAAATAATCTAATAGTAAAAAAATAAAAAATAACGTTTTTCAGTTGTTAATATCTACATCCAAATTTTTTAATGTGATAATAATATTAATAATTTTTCTGTCAATGTACAAAGTATAATTACATAATACGCAGTTGGTATTTCATAATTTATCATTTTATGAGACTTATCAGTTATCATGGTTATTAATGTCATGAAAAAAATGGTATAATTTAATTTTTGAATAAACAGGTTTTTAAGTTTTAGATTTCTGATTTAACTAAGTTGTAAATTTTGTAAATTTAAAAACCAATAATAAATGTATAATAATTAACTTTAGTAAAATGGACATTTTGAGTGACTTTTGGGTGCAGCTTTGTAATAAACGGGCTATTAAGAAAGACCTATATAGTGGAAAAAGCTTATCGAAAAACCAAGATTAAGGTGAAAGAAATACATTGTGGCGAGGGAGCCGGAAACCCATTAATGAAGTTTGCAAAGTTTACAAATGATATTGCAGAGATAAGTGTCAGATTTCGAATTTGGTAGTACATAGGTGTTAAAGGTCGGAACTAAGAAGAAGTCACGTGCATAAATGCCAATATTTTTATCGCGTATTTTAATATTATCGTTGGTGATCAAAACGTTGGGGTTTTTCACTGTGGTCGTCTCCACAGGATATTAATGTATATATTACTGGTTAGGTTAGGTTAGGAGCTCGCGTAGGCGTTACCGAATCGTTCGGGTCCGTCACAGGTAGCAGAATATTATTATTATTATGTACACATGGTAATCGAGAGAGACGAGCCCTTAGGGCCTATACGCGTGTACGAACGGCAGTGACTCGTGTACATAAACGATACATCACCGGGCAATTAATAGGCTAATTTGTGATGAGAAAACAAAACGAGGCCCGGCGGCAAGAAGAGGCGTTTATTATTACTGTTTGTTGTTGTTATTATTATTAGGTATATTATATATCATATCGGGTGTGCGCGTAAATGTGTACCTACACTGTGCGTATCAGAGGGGTTAATTGTATACTGGCCCCGGGGGTATATCATGATGGGCGCACCCGACACTCGTTTACGTGCTTCCGATAAGGCTTCTTTTTTTTTCTTTTTTTATTATACACCTACCATCTCTTCTTACGGTTTTTTTCCCTTCTCGCGCTGTACCCGCGAATACTCCCGAGGCGATATGGGCGTGATGCGTGCGTGATTTACACGCCGAGATCGACCAATAAATACGTAAACGAGTTTATAGGTTTTTTTTTTTTTATTATTATTATTTTTTATTCTATAATGGAAATCGATTACCATCGTCGTCCAATCCAATATGCTCAATACTACACCGTCGTCGTCGTTGTCTATAGTTTCCACGTTTTATTTCAATATAATTATTGCCGACACACCGTCGTCGTCATGACGGTGAAAATGGGCGTTCCTATATAGTTATACACGAGTAATCATATTATAATAACGCGTGCTTAAGAAAATCGGTTTAAAAAATAAAATTACCCATTATACTGTATTGTACATAAAAAACCAGATCCGATTGCAGTGCAACTTTATGCCATAGTACTACACCCAGTTTTAAATGCTCATCAAGAGTACATTGGTCATTGCAGTCAACTTTTGTAAATCGAGTACGATTGACGTGTACTAAATAAATTATTCCTGTATAGTTCAACTTTTATCACGGCCCTAATAACTATAATACTAAAATGTTATGGCATATGTTATTTTTTTTTTCACTTAATTTATATTATGGTTTTTGAATCTATAGTAACTTTTAACTTTTAATTTAATTCGAATTCTTATCTTCCTTGATATTTGCAAAATGACTTGATCACGTACTCAAATTCACTCATATTCTTAAATTAACTTAAACTTTACATCAATTATGTTTTTCTTTTACATAGGAAAATTCAACTAAACAAACAAAATAGGTTAACTTGTGCAGATTTTATTTAATTTTCTCTTATTTTTTCTGTTCTCTGTATACTATTTGTGTAGGATTTGTTCGTTCCAAATAACTTAAATATCACCCGTCTACACACGCGTTCGAAAACCGTTTTGCCGAACGGATTGTGACGCCGAATATATACCTATATGTTATAGGTAAACCGAAAATGATTTTTTTTTCGTTTTCTTACGTAATTCGAAACATTTTGTAGCGACGTGGGTTGTTATGTTAGCTGCCGGTTTTACACGTGTATAGAGTATATACCGCATAGGTAGTGGCACGCGCTCCTTAGACAAACATTTCGTGTCTCGTCGACGGTTTTCAGGAAGCGTCGCGGAACAGATGTTTGTTGTTCAGCTTACGAGGACTACTCGATATATTATTATTATTATTATTATATGGCGCGGGTGAGGTCCCCTTGTTATCGATCAACTCGTCTTCGTCTGTTCTGGAGAATGGGGGGGGGGTTTAGAAAAACACCGTATTTAAATCGTACATAATCAAAAAACACGGCCTTTACATGGCTATTAATATCGATTTGTTTTTGGATTTCGAGTGGGGGGGAAAAAATCAATCAATGTGTTCTTTATTGTACACATCGTACCTATCTACTTATACAATTCATACATGATATTATTATTAAGAAGATGCAATCCATATGCGTTTGCAGTCTCTCCGTACTGTAAACGCGTTGTATAACACATTTAAGTACGGCAAAACCAATTGTGTGCTAATATTGTATTGGAATTTGGAATTGGATATATTATCAAATATTAAGGTACGAACTGTACAGTAAGTGTTTAAACATAGTATTTCTTTTTGTTATTTTAATTTTCAAGTGAGATACCAGTGTATGTGAAACGTCGCATTTAAAAATACTTATATGGACGGTGTTCGTGAAAAATGATACACTTAAATGTCAAATTATATAACTTTTCAAGAAACAAAAAAAAAACTGAATAATTATTTATAGACTTTATACCCTTTTGCGCCAATGAATTTTCTTATCTAAACATATGCCTTAACACAAGGTTATAAGGTTATATTAAAAAGGAGACAAATAGTTCAGTACCAACAATCGGTCCGTCATATAATTTGAAATGTGATTTATACCATTTTTTACAAACGCCGTTCATATTATATCTTGATAAATTACTAAAGTTTAAACGTCAAAAATACTCAACGCGCAAACACCGATAATGTTCCGCCCTTTAAGTTTGATAGTAGGTCAATGACGCTCTGAGATTAAAGCTAATAACGCAAGATTGGTTTTGCCGAACGTAAATTTACTATAATATGCTGTGTATTTGTAGAGCGAGACGACAAATGCATGTCCACTTAACAGTTATAATTCACATAAACTCTGTCGATATACAATATTATTTTAACCGCGGGGCGGCGCTGCAAAACGTTTTTAGATTAAAACATTAAAACGTTTCGAAAATTGAGATTTATAGCGTCGTAAAACAATATACACGGCGATTGTTCCGCGATAATACTGCGCGAATTTCCATTGATATAAAACAATAATATCACTATAAAGAGGGGTTCTTATATAATACATTTAATTTTACGCGTATATTGAAAAGAAGTCGTTTATACGTTTCCAAAAATAAAACACAATCGTACATCCCCTCTTATTGCAGTGCAGCGTAGCTATAATATTATATAGGGGTGTATAATATTTTATTATTTTGTTAAAAATATTTTCATTCGAAACAGATGCCTTTTTTTTTTTAGTGTAATAAAAACCGCAGAACGTAATTTCGTATTATTATATATATTATAAGAAAACCGTAAAACGTTTTAACGTATACAGAAAAAAAAAGGAATCGACGGGTAAAAAGACGGTATGTATACGGCATGCGTATAATCGATTAAAATATCATAACACGGTGCGGAGTAATGATTACAAACGGCCCGGGAGCGATTAATAATTTATAAGGTCTCTGGAAAAAAAAAGTTTTTAATCCGGTTTGTCGTGGTACTAATTAAATTGATATAAATTATTATTTTATAATCTCCTAGATGTTTATCTGTAAAATACATTCGGTGATAATCATATTATTATTATCCACGGGCCGTGGTACTAAAAAGTAGTTATCGCATTTAATGGTTTTTTTTCTTTCTTTATTACGTGATATAATTAAATTTGTTTCGTTTTTTTATTTTTTTGTTTTTTTATATTTATATGCGTTATTAATACGAGCCTCGTGCCAATAATAAGAATATTGCATTTAACTTTATTTTCGTGGACAATAAACTTCAAACGGTTTTAAACGATTATAGGTTAAAAAAAAAAATACCCGATTTTTAATTTGAGAACGGCAAGGGAGTTAGCGAGATTTTCACACTTTGAACTTTAAAACTATTATATATAAGTATATAACATTATAATGCGTTGGAAGTAGAATTTTTCAAATCCTGTGGTTTTGAACCCCTACGGGTAGGTACATGTGCCTGTACAATTAGAAAGAGCGAATTCCAAAATTCGATAATTCAATAATAAACAATATATTATAATTTATATGTAATTATATTATATTATGTTTATAGTTCATCTCATATTTCTAAATAGACTGCCGTATTTTTAATGGGATTATACACTTCATATTAATTAATATGGGTTTATCGGGGCTCTATACTGCGATTTAATTTGATCTTTGACGTAATGTTTATATTTCGATATTATTTGCGAAAGAAAGAAATGCAACAGTCCTGAGTACACTGTACGGATATCGGATGTTTGCAGACTATACTCATACCAACTGAAGTGCATTGTCCTTATTATTATGACGTGGTAATAAAACGTCTCGTTATGTGCCACTAAAATAAACAGCGACTAGAAGGTGCGGTCGTAAATCTTCCGTTCTGACTATATCATCTCTCTGCCATCGCATAATATTAACAATAATATATTATTATTTAAACAGCGAGTGTCTCGCACTTTTGGACGACCCACCGATACGGAGCTAAATTTCCGGAGTGAAATAAGAAAAAAAAAACATAAAATAAATCTTAACGGCTATCTCAATGGCTAATCGAAAACGACCTAATTTTTGTCGACCTTGTTCGAATTTTGACATTTATCGTGTAGACAATCATATACGTTTATATACAGTATTATAGGCATATAGATAACAGGCAACTCGTTAAATTAACGAAAAAATATCTTTTTCCCTACTGCTGTCTACAATTAAAAATAGCGAAGTGTTAAGCTCCGAACGACTTGAATAATTTCTTATACAAAAATCGTTAAAATGTTAATTTTTATTCAAAGTTAAAATTAGGTAGTTATTTTTCTCGTCAATTATAATAATTACCTGGTTTATTATATTATTGTCGTATTAACTCGACTGTTTATAATTAATTTTCATAATCATTGAGCTATAGGTTAATTTTATTATGGTAGTTCTTATAAATAATGAACACTATAATTGTATCGTCAGTTTTTGTTGTATTTAAACTTTTAATATGACGAGTTAAATTTAGTTTTTATAAACTTTCAACTAAATGTTTTTTTTTTCTTTTTAATCAATTTATAAATAGTTAATTAGATTCATTATTATATGAAATATCACAATTTCAACATATTTATAGCTTGTTTTGAAATTAGTTTTCGAGAAAACCCGACATAGTTGCATAGATAATGTTCTTATCTTAAATTTGTTAATAAGTCAATAAATCATTCCAATGTTAAAACTAACAACATTCAGTTATCCCTGTTGAACACAAATTTGCTGTGTCGTGCTTAACTGTGTATCATTTTCCTTCCCACAAAAAATTACATAAACAATTTTTTTTTTAAATGCAATTTAAAACTGTCAATATTGTAAATAAGTTTTTATTATTTATTGTTCACTTCGAATAATATTTTCTACCGATCCGGTGTTTAATACTGCTTTTAAAATGGAATCGTTTAACCGTGAACGATATGAACGTAGGTTTTCACGATTTTCGCGCACGTGCAACAATATAATGAGCACGTAACCGCGAACGCGTATATACAGGGTACGTACGTCGCGGCGAATCAGTGCGGTCGGTATACACGAGCTATTGATAATGCATTATTATGTAATAATACGCTTACACTCGAAAGGTTTTTCCGCCTTTTTCGTTGATTAGCGTGTGTACGTAATTCGGATTTCGTACGGAAATATTATGACCCAGGATCGGGCGGCGGCGGTGGTGGTGATGGTCGGGGGTAGGGGTTTAGAACACCCTAAATAGTCGAGCGGTGGGCGGTGGTGAGAAACGAGTATAATGGTGACTAGAAGGTATATACAGAAAAAAAAGAAAACGTTTTTCTGTTGTGAACGACGACGGAAGTCGACGGCTGAGAAGTACACGAGTAGAAAAAAAAATAAATACAATATAACGTTGAGCGCGCGCGCGTGTGTATCGGGCAAAAACATAATGCGCCCCCTCCTCCCGGTAAATAAATCAAACCGACGGCGGCGGCGTAATTCACGAAAAAAAAAAAAAAAAAAAAACACTCGGTCCCGTACGTATATACAGTAGGTTTATTTTGGTTTTTGTTATTATTATTATTTTTTTTTTTTTTTAATCTTATTCTCGACGCGGATTTTTTTCGCCACGCCGACGACCGACGCGCACAATGACGTGTACGTTTAGATTATACGGCTTATGTTACGGCTATTGAAACATCTCGGGCCGTGTGTATACGGTTTTCTTTTCTTGATCTTTTCTTTTTCTTTTTTTGCCGCAAAAACGCCCCCGAGTCCCATGTGGGTATACTCGTACACCTATTTACGTATATAAACGCATTGTTCGCCTCCGCGGTAAATAGTAACCGAGCGGTACAGTTTGTCGAACGTATACCTACTAAGCACTTATTATGTCGGTCGGATTTCCTCGACGAAAACACTTGACGGGTCCACCGCAAACGTTATATTATTATGCATTGTAAATATTTCCATTCGCGAATTTATGCTCACGTCTCGCATTACCCGACCCCCGTAAACGGTCATAAAATATGTCGAGTTGAACGGGACTCGAGAACTGCGCGTATATTAGATATAATATGATATTACTTTATTATATTCGTGGTTTATCCTTTTCACGCGGATTTCCGTTGGCTATTTTGATCCGCAGTACTTGACACGTTTAACGACAATCGTTTCTTTTGATAAATAATACCGGGGAAATTTTTAACGTGACCGTTTTTTTATTACTCCTGGGACAAAGTTCGTCTGTATATTGTTAAATAAACCGATACAAACCGGAATATCGAAGTAGCGTATAAGTTCCCTATTTTCACTGAATAGGCCGGAAATCAAGTTTAGAGCCTAACCAATCGTTTAGTGAAAACCGCATTCCGAAATTCGTAATCGTATATGAGTTACATAGAGCGAATACGAATAAATGCATGAAGTACAGCTGACGTTACTGACGTATCGTTGCTGGAAAAAGGTTTACGGTGCGCAATTCGTATACGGTGATCCTATATAATAGTATGGTCGTAAGTACCGAAAGTCTTGACAAGTAGCGGTTTTTCGACCCGCACTAACTGCGGGTAAACGCGCAGACTATATATTAATGAATTCGACTGTTACAATGTATACACAACACGATATTATATTCGTATGTACGTGCCTTGTAGTATTTTTTTCTTCAGAGACCTTCACGTATGGAATCCGATTTATTCATCGTCGTCGTCGTGAACGGCAATATTTCATATACGGTCCGTCGACAGTAGGACCGCTGTGCCAGACAGTAGGTAATGTTTTCGCCTGACCATCAGCAGAAACGGCTATGTGCAGCGGAAACACAGCCCCGCGGTCTCGAGAACGCTTTCGATTTTACGAATTCAACGTCCGAAAAAGCCTAAACACTAATTGAGTATTCTTCAAACAGCCTAAAACGCTCGAAAAATTCAAGTATATAATAATTATTATAAGTTCAAAACACTAAAACGCAATTAAATCTCGCATAAACATCAACAGAGTTGAACGAAAAGATCTGAGATGGGAAGATATTATACGTAAAATATACGGTCCCCAAGAAAATAATTTAAAAAGAAAATTCGCGTCATATTAGAGTTTTACTCATCATATGAGTGAAAAACTAATGCAGACCTCAATGAACAGAGATACAAAGGAGAGGTTGGTTATTCGCTTAAAATGATTCCTTTATCTTTCTTTATCTAACACATATGTAGCATAGCGATATTTATATTTGTCCATCAGATCGATTCCGTATCGCGACGACGTGTGTCATTTTTATATTATTTATATTTTTATACATTTTCATATGTTCAAATCAAAATTTCGGAAATTCGAATGAACGGGTCTAGCCGATATTATTTCGGAACTAGATCGACGGACCAAAAATCGTTCTAAATTATTATATATGGTTAGTATGTATAAGTGTTATTAGTGCTCGGGAAGATATTATCAAGGGATTCCGCTTCGAATCCCCTTCCCCTTGAACGCGATTTATAGCGCCCCGTTAATTTATTAGCCCTTACCGGCGCAACGACACTCGATTCACCTCGTTCGTCGCTATTAAAAATATAGTTCTAGGACTCGATTCGCCTGTATAATATTATAGAAGCATACGGTAGTGATGGTCGTTCCCGAGCACGATTCAATATAATACACCGCGGAGTGTATATTACACGCATATAATATAATATTATACGTTTTTCGATCGGAGACGCTACGATATAATGTAATGTATAATAATAATATCATCTCTCTCTCTCTCTTTCTATAAATATATATATGTTTAAATATGAGAAATATGACCGCGGACGCAATAAATAACTACCGCGTGCGTGTTCGTACTTAGGCAGTTCACCACTCCAGTGCCCGGTTGGACTGTATACGTACGTACGGTATATACAGAGCGGTGGTGATGATTTATACGCTCGCGCGCGCGCGCGCGCTCGCCCGATAGCGTTTTTGACGCGGGTGGGGACGGCGGCGGCAGTGTAATTAATTATACCGTAAGAAAATGAAAATATAATAATACGTAAGACGGGGAAAACATTTTTTTTTTTTTTCAAAACACCGACCGATCATGACTTACGTCGGTATGCACCGCCACCGCGGCCGCCGCCATCCGGCATACGCATACGAGACGCAATCGCTATAATATATAATATCGCGGGTATAGGTTTTTCAGATACCGACGGATTTCGAATAATAATAATGGTATATACCATATACCATAATATTATACGCGTCGTATAACCGGTGTTGTTATTGCTCTTTGTTTTTCTAAACGAATATTATTATTATCGTATTGTTCTACTACACTTATACTATATAATAATACGATGTGTGCGGTTATTTTTATTCAAAAACACGTTTTTAACTTATCGAAATTGTTAAATATTAAACAAAAAATATCCGACACTTAAAAATCGACAAAGTAAATTATGTTCGTTATAATATGGTTGGTTAGGTTAGGTTACCCTATCCGAGTTCGGTCCGATCAGTACACGGTGTAAAAACGCAACTTCGGTTTTTCATCGACTAGGAACTAAGTTACACCCGGAACACCGAGTTTCTTGGAACAGTATCTGATTGGGACCGACGGGTTATATTTTACAAAACTGACCTGAAACCAACTCGGTTACGTTTCGGCCGAACCTGTATAATATATTTTTATTTTTTTTTTTTGGGGGGGGAGGGGGAAAAAAAGAAGAAGAAGAATATGTTCGCGAGGTTTTTTTTCGGAATTTTTCGCGATCAACACGGTTTTGCGAGTTACGACTATGATAATATAATAGCATAATAATACACGCGGCGCGCGGTGCGGCGGCGGCGGAAATTAATTATGCGCGTGTCAACCGCGTGGCGGCGCATTAACATATTTCACGGTGTAACAGGAGCCAAAACGAGATTTCGAAAATGATATACCAACTGCCGTTGCGTTGTTGTTACACACACACACATGCGACCATACAAACGCACATAAACGCACTCATATATACGTACATTATTATTATTGTGTGTGCGTCGTGAAGAGTTTTTCGTATTATTATTTTACACGGAGCTGCACTTGTTACGGTTCAACAGCGGACAATACCGCAATAGCAACGGGACGACGACGACGTTGTTGTAGTTGCGTGTAGAGTTTTATTTCGTTTTTTATCGCCATTATTATTATTATTTATTAAATTCGACCACGGTAAATTCATTTGGTATATTATCCGGGGCGCTTCGGCCGAAAAATTGCGTGGCGCTCGCTCTGTAGATCGGGAGAAGTATAAATAATAATAATAAAAAAAAAAAGCTCCGCGCCAAAAATACAACGATTATGTTTTCGATTCTTTTTTTTTTTGTCCGTTCGTTTGAAAACATACTAGTTTCTTTAGCGATAAAAAAAATAACAAAATTATATATTATTTTAGTTGGGGGAAAAAAACGAACAATAATAAGATATCGTTCGTTACCGCCAGCCGTGTGTTATAATGTTCGTAAAATATTCGTCGGACATCATCGTCATATACCGGTTTTCGATGAAATAAATTAAACGACAACGATTATTTCCCCTGACCCGATCGTCCCTCCGTCGCGTCGTTCAAACCAGAGAAAAACTGTGTCGGAAAATCATATTACCCGAAAAAAAATAAAATAAAGACCATGAAAGAAAACAAATTATTAGAATATTCAAACGCGTACCGTATGACGTCACCCAGTTTTTGGTCGTCAGACGAACATATATATGACAGAGAATAAAAAAAAAAAAAAAAAAAACACTATTCTGATTAAACGTGGCCGTTTTAATTTGAATACCGTATAATATTTTGTATGAATTTTGAGTTTTTTTATTATTTTTTTTTTTTATAGTTCGTTTCTCGTACGGTTCGGTTCGGTCACACGAATCTATCGAAAATACTCGAATGTATATATTATAATTATTATAATATTCGAGCGTGTTTCGCGTTATACGCGTTATACACGAACTATACAGCGGTAAACTAAAATGCGCGTAATTTTGTATTTACAATAATAATATAATAACGAACATTTTAATAAACGCGTCACTGACGACGTAAACGGAATTGTTCGCGCGTCGGAAAAACGTCCCCGTCCGAAAGAGAGACAATATTATTATTATTATTATTATAAACGTCATCGTGATGATATTATTATTATTGTTGTTGTTGCTGCTGTGTAACGGTCGACAACGATGTGCCGAAATGCTCGTGCGAAACTCTCGACGACGATGACAAAACGGCCGACCGTGTGAAAACCCGAATCCCGCGGGACAGACCCGCGGGTGGTTTGAGTGCCGATTTCGGTGCGCGGACGACCGCGGGGAATTGTAATCGGTCTCGGCCGGTAACGATCGTGAACGAGACAGGCAGAGGGTGGGGTCGTGGAAAGTGTCGAAGATATGGGTAAACGTATTAAACGCTGCACCGACAATACATGGGTAATAGTATGATAATATGCAGGTGGATCCCTATTTATACTTAATGTAGACTACATGCACTAGCTGCAGCGGCGTCTTGAAGGGGGTACATTTTAATCACTTGATTTACAAAAAACGTGTGGCTGGATCGTGAGTGTTCAGAAATATAACAAAAATCACTGTTTTTACAAAACGAGTCGTTAAAAGAATTTTAGACATGCGGAAATTTGACAAATTTGTGGTAGGGTATTTTTGGGTTGAAATGGGTGAGTGGAAAATTTAATCAGTGATTCAAGGTAAAAATACTTCGAGCCGCCACCGGTATACACTGTTCCAGAAGAGTATCGCATATAGATTTGTTAGCGCATAATGGTCACGTGCGGTCGTAGGTTATAGTTAATGATAAAGAGACACGTTTTATAGATCTGTCGATTTTTAAATTCAGAGAAAGTCCGATTTTTTAATCCGACGTACGCTGCTTTATTATTTCATTTAACTAAAAAGTGACGATGTTATATTTATAATTGTATTATTATTTACATAATCCGTTTTGTGCGATTTCCCTTGTTAATACTGAAGTTACCGTAAGTGTATAACAAATATACTCTCCGTGTACGTTGAAAACGATAGCATATGTTCTGTCCGTGTATTATCTAAACGAAAAGAACGAAAACCACGATTGGTGTAATCATCAAATATTTTTTCGATAACTTGTTTAACGTAAGAAGCTTGAATACCGATTTTTACTTTCATCGCTGTTTAACATAAAAATCAATCGACGTAGTGAAACAATAATAATGATCTGAAAACACATTTAAGTCATGTCATAAAATGTACATGATATCGGTCATTAATTCCCAAGAATCTCATGTTTTGTCAATAGCTAAAAAACGATGAAAAATATTTTTGAGGAATTTCACTAATAATGTAATGATAAAAATAATATTACTGATACTGGCCGGATTCGTTTAAAACGGAATTATTATTATTGCGCGAGGAAAATCAGTCTTTTGAAAAACGCGCGAAACCACTGTTATGAAACGCGCGTCGTCGTACAATAATTTAACCGCTTTGCTCAGGTTCATTTAATGGTCTTGACTTTTGTTCGACTGTAAAACGGTATATACTAGTTAATTACGTATTATAATTTTATGCGACGGCGGTAACGGGGTTAAGTTAAACGACGTGTTAAACACGGTTGGCGGGTTAAAAGTTTCCGGAGTCACCCGGAGAACAATAATATTATTATACTAATATAACGAAAAAGCACGGGGGTTTGCCTTTTTACATTAATCGTTAAGGTGAATATTATAATAAAGCGTTGCGGAAAGGAAGTGTACAAAAATAAAACATTCGGCCGCAAAAAGGTCGAAACACGAAATCGTATTTTGTTATCTAATAATAATTAATATTATAATATGAAATTAGACGCGTACGGAGGATATAATAGGAAAGGAGGCGAAGAACAATGACTGCGAGCGAATTTCACGCCTCATAACAACGAAAAACCCCGGACAATACATATAATAATGAAAAGGGACTGTTGCTCCGGAACCACGTACCGCCCGAACGATCCGGGAAAGAAAGGTCCGGTAAAGCTGACCCGTGGGTATTTAAGATGACTGGACTCGTTTTCAAACACATCAAAAACCCCCGGGCCCGGACGCGCGTAAAAACGGCTTACATTTAAAACTTAATAAATTAAAAAAGGTATTTTCCGACGATGATGTTTTGTATCGCGTAGGAACGCACGAATATTGTATAATATTAAGGTTATTCGATTAGTTATCAGATCTGTAAAGGTTTAAATATAATTAGGTAGATAGGTATTAAAAGTAAATAGACTATACAGCAGTTGATTTTGTATAAAAAAAACTATATAAATAGCCGACTTTATATAAGAGAAAATCTTAAACTCGGTAGCCGTATAAGACCTGCAGCAAAGAAGCAGATTTGGTTAACCGGCGGAATGTTTGTTTATGCCATGAACAGATGAAATATACTATAGTTATTATGCGATTATACGAAATATATTTGAAATTAATCGTAAACTGTTTCAATGCCTATATCATAATAGTCCTCTCGATGACGGCTGCCAAGTTCATTACTTATACATAACTTGTGGGACTCGTTATCGTATAGTCGACTTTTATCTTAAGACATCGTAGATTTTTCGATAAGATATGAATACGAAAATTTGTGTTCCGGCGCTTTGACTGCAGCAAATCCCTGCCCGTTATCACCCGGTGACCTTTGTTCGACACGCGAGTTAACGGTCTCAATTCGCCGCCGTATAACTATTATATAGATCGGACGACGGATATCATTGAATTAATATTAATACGAACTATTATACATTTAGGCGGATTGCGATATTGATAATGTACGAACCGTAACGTATTATTCATATTATGCGTATAGTCAGAGCGTTTCGAAATTACTTTAAAATAATATTAGGTGCCTATTATGTATATATATACATAATATTATAAACCGTTTCACCAGGCGCCGGCGAAAACTCGTATTATAATACGCTGTATTATGATTAACGGGATGACGACGAATAATAATATATCGTTTCGGCGCGTCGACGAGATCATAATATTATTTTTTATTATTATTATTTTTTTCTTCTATTACAAACGGACTTGTGGGGCAAACGGTCGCGGCGGAGTGAAGGGGACCCGAGTATATATATTATATGTATACGTATACGCAAGAGAAACGCCGTGCGCAAATATTCGCGCGTTATCGACCGGCGTTGGTGGCTGGACGAGATGATAAATCGTGTGTGTGTGTGTGTGTGTGTGTGTGTGTATTATATATATATACAGGAAGTGTTAAATCGTCCGGAACAATTCGATAAATTGCGTTCGAGTGTATATTTATGTAGGTGTGTGTGCGTGTGCCTATACACACACACACACACACATATATATATATATATATATATAAGGACGAGAATTTCGGCTATATTATATCGCAGTAAAAATATACGAGTATATACTGTATAGATCTGATAGAGCAAATTACAAATAAATCGAGTCGAAAAGTAACGAGGGTTCGGGCGAACTGAGTGCAGTGCAACGGACGGAACGCCGAAAGAAAAAATAAACAAAAATTGGCGACGTATGAGGGCGCGTATGGATATACAGTACGGACGGATACGGGGAGATGTCGATTGGGCGAGATGTCAAAATTATTTAGCCGACATTCGCGTGGGTTAAAAATCGCAAAAAGAAGAAAACGTCGCAAAATATTATACATTTCGGCGAATATCAATGTTTACTGTATTATCATAACATTGCACCCTGTAAACGCGTCGTGTACACGGTCCGTGTAAATTTAGTATCCGATAAGCGAGGCTGCAAGATTTGTTTGTTTGATTTTTTTATTTTTTATTTTTTACGATTATGATATTTACGCTGATGCGACAGTGCCTCGGATCAGGAGACACGGTAATTTACGGTCGTCTCGAAATTTCCAATATAGCCGTCGCGCTCGTGTGTATTTAAGTATGGGTAGTATAGTAGTCTTAGTCGTATATAGTGGTGGAAGTGGTATAGAAGTGGTAGTATCCGTGCAACAACAACAAATATTATATTATTATTATTATTATTATTATAAGTAGCTCGGCCCAGGTAGACATTGACAATTTTATCGTGATGATGCCCCCTCCGCCTCCCGGATGGATTCGCGCACAATGGACCGGTCGTAAATAAATAATAATAATATAACCCCTCGCGCGCGCGTGCAGCATCCGTAGAGCATGTTATAATATTTCACCGCCCGGCCCGTCGCGGATTTTCTGAGTTTCCGACCGTGTTTTTTATTTATTTTTTTTTTTTTATTACGATACCGGAGAATCTGCTGCTGCTGCTGCTGCTGCTGCTGTATATAGTATATAGGTTTACTTATACGCACACACGCGTCGCAGTCGTCGTTGTATTATAACGACATCCGTATTATGGTATAGAGGTATATACACATTTATATCGGTTCACGAACGCCTACTCAGGTTTATTATTATGAACACACACTATCCGTAGATATGTATAACGTAACGTATAAATAAACGAGTCGTATAAATCTATATACAATAAAATATTTCGCAATCCGTTCGGTTTTTGTGAAAATCTTCATCTTTCTGTATTATTTTATAGCTTCACTTCGTCGCCTTGTCGTATCCCACGCGAGTCATCATTAGCTACGTATACGTATATACCTATTATAGGTACTCTGATTATTATTTTTGCCAATCACATGTCTCACAACCGCAATCCCGTTCGCGGTTACTAAACAATTTTTTAATTATCTAGCTGATACCGCTGATGAATGTAACACTGTTATGAAAGACAAGTTGGAAAGGATGATGTATAAAATAATTTAATATATATTTATACGCAACGATAAACTGTTGTTAACGATAAACGATACAGAGTGGAGTATACTTTATGAATATTAGGCCAAAGTACAGATCAGAAATCAACAAAAATTATGAAAACATTGTCGTTTTTTCCCGTTTATTTGGAAAACTACAAGGAAAATCAAAAATGGTTTTTAAATGCACCAATTAGATAAAACAATTTACAAGAATGTTCCTATATAAAGTTTAAGATTGAATCGAAATTTCTGATAGAAAATTTGTTTACAGATGGGGTAAAAAATAAAAAAAAACACATATAGTAAAACTATCAATGCATTCCTCGCTTTTACTTAGATTCTAAAAGTATCTGTGTGTATAGAAACACTTATTATTTTTGCCCATCATACACTGCGTGCACGCCTCACGACCGTGCAGTTCCGTTCGCGGTTACTGGAAATTTTCACTTATACACAAGTATAATAGATTGTATTTTTCGATTTTTGTTCTTCTTTGTAACGCTCGTCATCACATCCATCCCCTGCACTACTACACTATACGTTGTATAATAATGTAATATTTCGAAAACAGTTTCCGCGGGTATAATAGGGCGGCCGCGCTGCAGCGCCAGTGCACACGTCGTCTGTTCTTGTCACATAATAATAATAATAATAACCAATGGCGGTTGACGCACGGCACCGCCTTTTCAAAGGGTCTCTCCGCCCGGTACTCGTAATTATAAAAAAAATAAATAAAAATAGAAGAATATACACGACACCGAACTCTGTATATACTTGTATTTGGCGGTAATGGGGCTCGAAAGGGTTTTCCACGGCCGAGATCCTTGTCGCATGTATAATCTATACATACAAAAATAAAGTCCCTTTGGCCCGTTTATTTGGGGTGTGTGTGCTTATGGTTCGAAACCGACGAAAATTAGACAGTAATGTGTACTTACTGTAGCAATGGTGAGACTGATACCAATGTAATATGGTTAGTGCTATGGCCTAACAAATCTATGATTGACCTATATGATTGAAAATGATGGCCATCAAAGAAAGTGATACAAATAAGTTGGCTGATGAAGCCATTGAAAACTACAAGATTCCCGATGTAAATGTTTGTGGATCTGTTTTTGAGGTGCGGAAAAAAACGAGTGGATTTTAAGATAACAAGACGTAATAGAATCAGGTATATACGTAAGTAAAACGTGTTAGAAAGAATACCGGAATACCTATTATGTATTCTGCAGGCTAGTGTTGAATTTCAGAGGGGTTTTGTAATTGAGCTGTAAAGGCTGTGTAGGCAACGACTCGTGTAGCGAAAGGAGAAGAAAAACTGGTAATGTATGTAAAAAGTCTCCAACATTATTATATAGCTAATTCGTCGCGTTTTAAAACTATTCCCTAACCATGCCGAGGTTCTAAACACTACCTACGTCTTCGACCTATTGCCGACGAGTTCAATTTCACGCAAATGTTCTCGGTCAAAGAATTTTAAAAGTTTTACCTACCGCCGAGGTCTATGAAAAAAAAAATTGTTCTCACCATATTGTTCGTTTTCATACACTTCGCGCGCGTGCGCCTTCTACAACATAATAATAATAATAATAATAAAGTGTGCAGTTTGCGTTTAAATTATTGTGTAATAAACATAAAATTACGCGTTATATCTAAACCGAAGCCAATTTTACGTCGGAATAATACGGTTTTATGACACGCCGCTGTTTACCTGTTGATTGTGATTCCGGAACGAGAGGGAAAATATTGTTATTATTATTATTATCATCATCACGGCGTTTATTACCGTATAAAAACTGCAGAAAATATACCGAAACATAATCACATTCGATTCGTATTTTGTATCGGATTACCGACCGGGATTACGCGTTCCCTACACACTATACAACTGCAGCCCGTCACATAGGATTATAATTCGCGGTGCCCGCGAAAAAGACGTTAATTCACTGAATAGTGAAGAATGAGTTGTTTAGACGAAACAAATATGTATTTTTCGTATAAAATGTGTCAAATCAATTTGTCCAATAGCAAACGTGTTATTTCAATGTGCATTTTAAAACAAGTCGTAATTTGTTCGTTCTTAGTGTGTTTTAATTTATATCGCATATCTACTGTAGCGTGTGACTATAACTATAGTGTCAATTAAGTCGAGTCGCTCAAAATTAATTTAAATCAATGTGCATCAATAAGCTGTATTTTAAACATTAAAATATATAAATTATGTTAAACAGTACAAAACAACACATTATATAGAATCTTGTATTACTTAAATTATGGCGAAATGTAAACAAAACTCAACAGACTTTGCGTTTTCAGTTAAAGTTTATTATTAGTCTACTGAAAAGTTCTGAAATGTTTACTTGACGTCTGTTCTTTTACGCGCACCCGTCCGCGAATTATCAGAAAATCGTAAAAATCCGAATTATACGCGTCATATTATAATCAAACTGTTTGCGCGTTCTCAAACACGTTTCGTGGCGCGTACATTAATATTATTCATATTTCAAATAAACGACGAAAATTATTCTAAACTCACCGTCGTCGTCATCACATTTCCCACGGATCTTTGGATTTCGGTTATCTATTACGTATGATATTATAATATAGGTAGATATATGCTCGCCTATTTGCATATATTATGTCTCCAAACAAACCGGCCTTGCGGCGCACGTGTTATTTATACCGTGCACGAGTCTCGCGTACTTCCTATATATAGGTACACGAGTATATACAGCGTCGAATGATTATTAATACGTATAAGTTGTTTATTGCGAAAAAGAAAGAGGAAAAAAAAAATAAGAAAACCGTCACATTGTTCTGTCAATCAGATGTCGTTGTAATACAGCGATTTTTTTCCCCTCGTCTTCGTCGACCGCGATGTTTATTTCCGACCACACTTGACTCTCGCGGCTGTAGCCATGGTGATGTGCCGCGATGATGACCGTCAGTCGTTCATCCTCCGCAGCATATAATAATATATATACATTATTATCGTATCGTAATTTGACGAAAACGCAAACGATATACGCGTCGGGTTTATTTCTATAGGTATTACCTGCGTGTACAAACGCGGCTCGGCCGTGTCGTCAATATCAAATATAATAATACACGACAAAATGATGCGGAATATCGCAATCTCGCCTTTTGCCGTTGTCAATATCCTATATACAATAATGGTAAATTGATTGACGATCTCGGTGGTCAAAAAGGTATAATATATTGAAAACGATCGCGAGGATAATTGACCGGATTTTTCGATCGTATCGCTGTCAGCGTGACAAGGGTGTAATGAATCCCGCGGAATGCCCGCGAATTTCACAATGCAATATTATTATTGTGTTTGTGTGTAGTATGATAATCATTTTTTTTTTCGTTGTAAAAATATATATATATATATATGACGAGGGGGAAAACGCTATACAATCAGATTACGATTATTGATATTACCGAGGCCTCGATCCGCATTGTTGAACGCGCCGCAACGGAGCTGATGTTTATCGATCCGCAATATTTTGTCGTTTTCGCCCCGCGAACGTCTTTATGTATACTCGTATGTACATATATATATATATATATATATGTATAGTGTTACGTCCGTATGTTTCGTGCGGATAAGTACGAAACACACGAAGGCGTAGGGGCGTTGGAAGAAGGGGTAGCAGGAGGAGGTGGGAGTTTATCTTTTTTTTTCCCAATACGTTTTCGAAGACGTTCGCATAGAATTTATATAATAATAAACCGATATATATACTTACGTATTAAGTATTATTATATAGTAATAATATTATAAAATACGATTCAATCATCACTGGCGCGAGCGTTCGTTAAAGTCTCTCGTTCAGAATAAAAATAACGCTGAACGTCGCGCCGAGTGAATAATTTTTTGACGCACACGCACCGCGAGTGCTGTGCCGCTGTAGCTCTCGATAGATCGCTCCCAGCGTCTCATCTCGTATTATATTTTATACAGGTCGTAAACGCTCAGTAACATATTGTTATTAAAAATAATCCGACAGACGGACAGACGGGCCGTCAACCGTTTAATTAACATGACATATTATCATCGGCTTAAATCGATATCCCTGTACCTACCTATCGTGTTATGACAGTAATAACAACATCATCAATCAACGTTTATTGCAGCAGTCCGCGCGCGGATGATGGTCCGTCCGATTATTATAACTTTTGGGAGGTTTAAATAATATCACATGTACATTTATTATATCGTATAATATACATCACCTGTTTAATTTAATATCATATATATATATAATTTATATTAGTGATGTTACGAATCCTGATTTTTTTAAGTCGAATCAAAATTTTCTAATAATTAACGAATCATTACGCATTATTATTCAAACCGAACATTAAAAGAGACAAAAGGTTCAAAAATATGACATATAAATGTATATGATGAAAAAATCTATTCTTTTGTCTAGGGTTTTTCGTAAGAGACCGCCAATCACTCGAACCGAATCGAACACCACGCGAGTTAGAAAATCGAACAGTTCGTGACATCTCTAATATATATATACGAGTATACAATAATTATGATACACATTGATGTAATGTTGTGTATAGGTACTCCTATGAACTGATATATTATATTTTAAAGGATTTTTACTAGGCGACACTGTGAATAACGATTCGCCTATATATATATATATATATATATATATCATTATCGTGACTCGAAGAGTTTTTTTCGCGCTCATAATTATAATCTCAACGGATTACAAATACATTCCAAATAACGCTAGCCAGGGCCAGTTTATACGAGACACACGCGCCAATCGTATCATCACTATATAAGTCGTAAAAAAAATACTAGGTAGCACGATATATGCTCTAGGCCTGAATGGGTGTAATGAGTGATCAATATAATTTGTTTGACTATATAAAACGATAAAATAATGTATTTGTACTCGTAGAAATGAATATTTATTAGTTTTTTTCTTTTGATGATTGCTGCAGTATTCGGATTTTTGAATTTAAGGATTTACAATAACAAGAAGCGGAGTAAAAAATATTAATGACACCATCGATATTTGAGCCGGGGATTATATTATACTCGTATAAAATATAAGTATACCTATACCGACAAAAGATATAATAACTACACTATATATATTATACACGTAATGGATGAACGCGAAATGATTCAGTGTTTTTTTTTTTTTCTGACGATAAATCGATTTTAAAGGTTTTTTTTTTATACAATAGTTACCGAGAAACACAAACAAATATTTTTACTGCGGCACGTTCGGTTATATAAGTGAATCGATTTTTTTTCTTTTTAAATCGAATTTTGATCGCTCGATAAACATTATGTAGGTATTATAAAGATGTATATCATTGGATCGGATTATTATTACGACGTGTCCTAATGCAATTAGGAGGGTGAAACATGATTCGTTTACTTATCGGCTGATAATAATAATATGGCCGTGTTAAACGCGTTAAAATAGTATTATCGTATATCCCCCCTCCCCCAGCTAAGCGAGACGAATTGTTTGTCCAACCTATTTCCTAATATAATATAATATGCAAATGTTTGGACACCGCATTAAATATATATTCGAATCAATTTTGCAGTATTATTGTACGTAGAGAGGTATATATAGTGTATATTGTGCGCGTAGCCCCTCGTCGTTTATATTATTATTATTATTATATATACGAGATTTTCGAGTATACGCATTCTGTAAGTTTTTATCACGCCCATATTATAGAGAATGATAAATTATTGTCGTCGTCGTCGTCGGATTGCAGTATGCAGCGTGCGTGCGCGTTTGTGTTCGTATACGGACGATATCCATTTTTTTTTTCCACGAACAGAGCAGCTGCACCGGTCGCCACAATACAAGACAAATGGTCCCTTAAACATATAACGATATTCCCCTCTAAGCCAACTATACGCGCTGCAGATATATCAAAAATATAATATAATAATGTCCGTATATACGGTGTTGTGATTTTTTTTTTTTATCTAAATATTACAATATTATTATTATCTATAATCGTTATCGACGATTTGGTTACCCGTGCTGCAGCAGTGGCGGTTAAACGGATATTGTTCCCAAATTTAATTTTTGTATTTCCTAAGCATATATTCAATATGCATGCATAATATAATAGCACACATTGGTGAAAAATGAAGGAGGAATTTTTGAAAATTGTCGCCCATACCCTTGGTCTTTGAAATTGAAGTGTATAAATATATTATAGCCGCAACTGGAGACCGGTTGTGTTACTTACTAATATTAATATTAATTTGGTTAATAGATAGATGAGTAGAAAATAATTATCGATTTACCACGTTGTTAAAGTTAATTGTTTTATTAATTGACTAAGTAAATTTAAAAATTAAATTACTTAATTATTAATAAATTAATAAATTAATACATATTATTTAATATTTAAGTTAATTATGTTTGTACAATTTTTATTGTTCATATACCTATAAGCTATAATATCAAGTAAAAACGATTAAACAGCGACTTATTAAATCATTTTTTAAAAATAAGGACGATGCTTTTTTTTTAAATGGAATCCCACATATAATATTATTGAGTAAAAAAGAAAAAAATTAATATTAAATAGAACGTAATACGCAACTTTCAATAATCAACTCCAACAAACTGTAACATATTATTATCAGCTCTTCTATTTTTTTTTTTATATTAATTTATTAAAAGTCGTGTACTTTTCCGTAATAATTCTTCTTAAAAATTCTTCATTCGTTACTCTTTCAGAGATATCTCGAGCTTTTTACGGTCACGTTACATTTCAAATTAATGAAATACTACAGTAAAATATGTCAACGTAAAAAGAAAAAAAAAACAAACATAATATTATACAATCGCGTGTAAATCGGATATTATACAATACGATTCGCATTTGTGTAATGTACTATATTAAGTTTCTGAATTACGATAGTAATATATATATATATAAATATAAATACGATATACGCATATTATTATTATTATGTGTGTGCATGTGTGTGTTGGTCGAATATACGCGCGAAACAATAAAAAATAATGCGTCAGCAGCAGCGTGCATAGAAGCTGCAGAACAAAACCGTAAAGAAGAAAATACACGTGTAAACCGGTAACGTTCCTCAAGGCTGCTGTTATGATATTTTCTTTTATGTCGTACAACCCTATTTTGTATAATGCGCTGACAAATTCTCTGTTTATAACCCTTATTATTATTAATATTTGTATTATTATTATTACGTCTCTTTATATTACGCATGCCTATACCTGTATGTTCTTGTGGCTGTCATGTTCCATATAAATTATATTATCTGCCTACCGCCCCTCGAAAATGTTCCGAACGCGTAGGTATATACGTATAATATGATAATGATATCCTAAGATAAGTGCTGCTGCTGTTAGATTATTGAAAAAGAAAAAAAAAATCCATACATATATATATATATATGGTATATGGGAAAAAATAATAATATAAAAACCGAAGACGGTTCTCAGGAGCAGAGCAGAACAGCGAGACTCATTATATTCATATACGAGAGGAGGTAAAAAAAAAAATTTAAAAAAAAAAAAAGAGAGAACCAGACGTCGTCGTTGTCATCGTTTGAAATTCATATATACAATAATAAGCCGTTTTATATTATTGTATATTATAAAAATTCATTACGGTCCGTATAATTTTTTAATTGTCCGCGTACCTGCAGCCTACTCGCGTATACGTATATTATATACAATAATAATTAAAAAAAACCGCAAGTGGACTGGTAATTTGATTTGTGGTGTCGTTTTGCTGGCAGTGGTCGTATGCTCGCCGGACCACCGGAATCGCGATGGCTATAAATTATTAAATACATATATTATTATCATTATTATTACGCGGACTTACAGTATCATTATTGTGCGGACTCGCGCGGGATCTGACGATGGGAAGCGAAAAAAAATCCGTACTACCCGTGTTGTTCGTATTAATTTAATATTAATTTTTTTTTTTTTCATTGTGTACCGTTCACGTCGTCGTCGCACACACGCGATAACTGTACCTGTACGACGACGACGGCGGTTATATCATATTATTATCGTGTAACAAATTTTGCGAAGGCAAATCAAATGCAACTGGGAACGTGACGAGATGTATAATATGTTTAAGACACTGGAATCGGCGCGAACCTAATAACGGTGGCAGTTGAGCGATGATGCGTGTACCGACCGGGAATGAAAGAATCGAAAAGACCCGGGGAAATTATCGAGTGTATCGGTTGATGTAACCGGGCAAAGAAAGTACGGAGGCCGGTGTGGTGTCGGTGGCGGCGAAAACGAAAACTCTTGAACAGTATAATGCATAGTAATATAGCTGCGATGGACAAAAAAAAAAAAAAAAATCAACCATCGCGTGTTTAGGCGATTGTATTGGCGGATCTCGGCCTGTATAACGGTCGTCGGCTTGTGCTTTATAAACTTATACACGTGCCGCCGCGGTATTGGAAAAATAATACTATTATTATTGTTGTTTAATTTCGTTGTTGAAAAGAAGGACTTATAATAGTTGTTGCAGTGAAGCCGAACCCGAGAGCGCACGAGGTCACCCGCGGGTACCTATATATATAATATTGTTATGTCGGGGTGGTGTAAACAATAGGAAAAAAAAAAAAAAATCCCGGTGTAATAATAAATTTTAAGGCGCATAACATATTGTTGTTTGAACAGAATCGAGTCATCAATCAGTAATTATTGTTTTTTTTTTTTTTTTTTTTTTTCGGTATTGTTATTATTATTATTATTATTACGCGTATTGATATCCTCAGCTCTCGTGCGCGAGCGGTAGACGGTGTGAAATGATTTGCGTTTATTATTTTTGTTGGTAGGTATAGGTCCGAAAAAACAATAGACCCAGAGCCGATGAGCTCTACGAGCAAACACGTGTCCCGCGCGATTGGCCGACGACGGCCGGGTCGTTATTGAAAAACACAAATGTACACACGTGTAATAACAGGCTCGAATGATGCGCAAAACCATTTTATTGGTGACAAAATCGGGACCACGAATTTGTCGCGTTTGACATTTGCCCGTTGCACGCGCCGTTCGCGCTCCTGACGACGCGCGGTAGCACTAACTGCGATCCGACAAAATCCCACCCGGGTACTGCAAACGCGAACGTTCATTCGGGCGTATTGCCGTTTGCCGTTGCACCCACCCACACTTCTCGCTCGGTTGATTACCGAACCGATTGAGCCGACACTTTGCATAGGCGATATTTCTCCCCTCCCCCCCCTGGTATTCAAGCCCTAAATGAGAGTGGCGGGTAGGGACGACGATTCGTCCGTTATTTATTTCGGCACGGGCGACGACGCGGGGCGGGACATCCACTATGAAATGCGCGGTATACCGCGGTGGCGATTCGACGTGGATCGCGTAAGGTACCGGACAAGCGCAGGACTTTATCGTATTTTCGATTAGAACCTGTTCGCGTCGTCTAACCATTATTCTGTCTGCACAGTGATAACCGCAGAACGGGTTTATATGAGCACTTAAAATCCATAAAAAAAAAAAAAAGCGCTCGTAATTATTTGTAACAAGTTAAAACCGTTGAAAAAAAAAAAGGGGGAGGAGGGCGACGACTTTAAAACCCCTCTGAAACTTTTGCTTTTTTTTTTATAAATAACAATTATAACCGCGACGAAAAGCGTTGTTTCGTTCTTTTTCGCCCGTTTAAAAATCCGTCACTCGTCCGTATCGCCCAGCCGATAACATTTGCCGCAGCGTTCCGTGATAACCGTATCGTCGTATCGAAACGACATTTACACCGTACCCGTGCGTGCGTATCGCAGTGCGGCGCGACCATTACCCGCGGACGGTAACGGTACACGGGAAGTTTTTCTTCGCCGGGGACGATTGGGCGGCACGGCGTTTCTCGTGTAATCCCGCGGTACGAGCGCATAATTTATTGTGTACACGTTCTCGTATACTGCACGCCGGCGTACATTACGTATTATTGTCATTATTTGGGTGTCTGGTCGTCCGGTTGCGTGTGTGGTCTAAAAACGCCGGGCAAGAAAAGAAAACGGGCCGGAGCGGGTATGGCAGTACAGTGCAGGCAGTATGCGGTGCGCGACACCGCGTGCGATTATTATTATTATTACGGTATTTCGGGAAACGTTTCCTGGGACACTTACCCCGAAAAACAGAAAAGAATACGGGGCGACGGGGGGAAAAAAAAAAAATAATAATAATAATAATAATAATAAAAACGATAACGTGTGTCCCGGGCGCGCGATATTTATGATGGTCCCGCGCGCGCACGTATACATACACATATGTACACGCGGGTCTCTCCGGGTCACAATGGACGTCCCGTCGAGAAGGTGCCGGGCCCCCGTTACAATTTAACACCGGGTGGGTACCCGTTTTTTTTTTCCTTCTTCTTTTTCGCTTTTCTACGTTACATTATATCGATTCGTTCGGCACCTCAAAAGTCCTCTGGGGTCCTATACGCGCATATACGTATACACAATTTAATACCTATACATGTATATACGTTTATTCAATAGAGATTTTATTAAGTAGCGATCTTTTGTAACTGGCGACGACGACGGCGACGGTCCACCGCCACCGGAGTCATTGGTCATCGTCGTCGACGGCCGACGACGCTTCCGTCTCTCGGGGGGGGGGCAGATGTGTGCGTACGTACTCTCCCGGCCATTGTCCAGCTGCCGCTCGGGGTGGACCAGCGCACGCACTCACGCGCCTACGCGCACACACACACACACACACACACACACTATAAATATTATATAGATCTGACAGGTAGGTATAATAATATTATCGTATTGTATGTACGGATCGGACCCGATTTCACCGCCGCCGCCGCCACCGTCGTCTAGCTATTATTGTCCGATCCGACTGCGCGCCAATAATCGCGCGCGCGTGATGCGCGTACCGAAATGTTGCGTTCGGATCCGATGATAAGCGACGGCGGCGTTTTATTGTATGAATCCGGGTTCTCTGAAAAAAAATTACCGCGCGCCAATCGTTATTACACACGCGCTTCTCGAACTGTGGGTCCGCTTAAAAAAAATTAAAGAAAAACGATGCCAAAAATCGATTCGATCTCTTATTCCTATGCGGGTAAACGGCGTCCGGTTTGCGATTTTCCGTGTCGATTCAATAACTGTGATGTATGTGGTGTTTTTGCGTGCCTGCAAATGACCGTTCTACCAGAAATCTTGCTCCGATATCAAAAACTGTTTAGCGACTTTCTTGTGGCTTTTATTAGTATGTATTACGGTTGGCGCATTCGGGAAGTCGTTTAATTTTCTTCGTATCGTTTATCTCGACGACAAACGGACGTTGTACGACCAATGGTACTCTGCGTATCATGACGAAATCGCGTTTCGTTAGTGATGGCCGGGCGCCGACATTAATCAATAACAATTACTCCATGCAGTGTAGAGCGGACGATCCTAAAACCGTCGACCCGCCGTCGGCATGTACCGGTCATTGTTTTTATTTTGTTTGTTATTAATCCTTCGGTTTCATTGCGCACATTTATCGGTAAAAACGGACTCGTGGTAAGGTAAGGGGGTGAGGGGGGGGGTACGGGCAATATAGGCGTCGCGCGCGTATGCATACTGCAGTTATGTTACGTTCCGTCGGTTGTTCGCGTTTGTTCGCCGATTTCGTTGCGCGTATGAATATTATAATATATCTGCGCTACTTGCAGCAGCGCACATCATCACCTCTCGCCGCAAAACAATAGGACCGTTTCGTATTTATAATGTGCATAATACGCGCGCATTGGTATATGTTATAACACGAGGTCGGCGACCGTCATCGACGACGACGATAATAATATTACACAAACCGAATTCGTGTGTACGGGTATACACACACACACACACACACACACACACGAGTGCCTGTATTATTATTATTGTGCTTTCCGAACACAAATCCGAGTTATCTACGTATCGTCCGTACACGTATACTCTATTGTTCGCGTTATAATAATAATACCGCGGTATATCACCCTCGAATTTCCGGCGACAGTATCCGCACGCACGACGCCTGACGAGGAGTTGCCGCGAGATACCGCGGGTCGACGCGCGTCCGAGTGAAATAAATCGAGTCCGATGCGCATTACCGATTACGGCCGCGGCCTAAGGAGTCCGTAATGTAATAACATGCGCTACGCTATGACACACATTGCGCAGTGCGGGGAGGGGGGAAATAAAAAAAAAAAAATAAATAATCGTTTTTAGATCGACGCACGCGATACTATTGGTGGTTTTCGATTTGTACCGACGATAACACTTATTATAACAATAATAATACGTACGCGATATTATAGAAGCACGCGAGCGATTCCCGTATTGTTATTGTTACGATCGTTGATTATCGATGAAAGTACTGTTGTCCTGTTACAATTCGAAAATCAAAAAAAAAAAAATTAAAAAAAATACCGCGCTCTTACGTGTATAATTGGTTATTGCGCGACGTACTCGCGCGCCTTGGATCGCGTACAACGGATAGAGCTGTATAAGCGATAACACGCGTCACCGGCATATTGTTATCAAGAGGGTATGTCACTTGTTCGCACGCGCGAACAACTATTATCAGTCCTATCACAACCCGTGCCTAATAGACTATCATAGAGTTGTAATCGTATAATGCGTAAAATATCCATCCGAAAATCCAACAAATAGGTTTTAATGGCATTTTAAAAGGGGCGTTACACATGCGCTACGGCATACTCGTTGCGCACGAGGGCGTTTAGCTGTTCAATCCCGTGTATACATTATGGTCCAAGACTTGCACACACAATCTGGACGCGCATCGACAGCATGTATTGTGACCGTAAAACATTTTAACCGCGCGGAACAGGTGAAATGATATGCGAATTGTAACATAATTGCGTACGGGTAGTGATACCTATGCATGTAACATCGTGCGACGTCAGTCCGTTTGCCCTTTACACAACGGTCGGTCTTTCACGAACTCGAGGGGTGGGGGGGGAGGCGATGGAGGAAACGATTATCGCTCGCCCGTGCGGATATATTTTCTTTTGCGAATATTGTTATTCGTTCCGTCGCGATAACACTTTTGAAGTACATACGGGTCGCGAACGACGCGGCGTTATTGCTTTAAAGGTGCGTTTTGAAATTCTCCGGATGTACAGACGCGGCGATTGATTTTGTAGAATGATATCGTCTGGACGGATGACTAATCGGCAAATTTTTATCTATTTGGGGAAAAAAAAAAAAACATTTTCTTCGCTTCGTCCGCGATACCGCCTAACGAAAGTAGTGAAAAAAGCGTACCAGATGAGTACACGACCGTGTATAGGTATCATAACGGTCGGGTAGTTTACGCGGTTTAACAATTGATTATACTCTTTGAACCGTATTAAATCCGATACCGATTCGACATTTCAGATAATCGAAATAATCGAGATAGTCCGAACGGTTTGTCTAAAGTTTAGACTCTAAACGATTCAATTATTATGTATTTCGGATAACGGCCCAGGTAACTTATTAATTCGTCTAGAATGGAATATAAAAAATCGCCTATCTAAATAGATAAATCTGTTTGGATAAAACGAAACGCTGACGGTCGCGAAGTCCTGTTCCGTTTACGCGTTTCGATTATTTGCCGCCGACCGGAAACCGCGTTCTCGTATTATTTGTTTCGTTATTGTTGCGCGTCTAAAGTGTATTTCATTTAAATTTTCACCGCGCGTGCGTTTTTAATATTTCGTACTCGAGTGTAAGGGGCGGAGGGATGGTAATACTGGGAGGGAAGGGCGGAGGGTAATTGCCCGATCTATACGCATATTTCCGATGAGAGGAAAACGTCGGGTATCTAAAAATACTATGATTTTATACGTGTTCGGATTCCAAAAAAAAAAAAAAGAAAAACGCATTTCGAACGATAGGAATCTCCGACGGTAGACAGTGAGTGGGCACGAATTCCGGGGACGCGCGCGTATAAAGTATATATCATTCCGAAATATGATTATGTTATGTACTCGTACGACGAAACATAATACTTCCATGCGCGTTGTTTTCGTTATTTTACAAACCCATAAGTCATAAACCCGTTTAGTCGTCTCTTTTTTTTTTTTTTTTTTAAATAACTCATTAAAAATTAAGAGTCCTTGGAAATGCCACCCAATTTATGAAAGAACGAGAACGAGCATCATCATCTCGAGTATATATAACATGTGTATACGCGCGAGTGGTATTATATTATTATTATATTAGTGGCGCGGTGCACACACACTGCACGGCCGGAGACGGGGAGCCGAACGAAAAGAAGATTTTTTCGATATTTTTTTTTTTTTTTTTATTATACCTATATCTTTTGACGATAATATAATAATAATAATAATAATATGTAATAATATTACGTACGCGTATACCTATATGCCCGTACGTGTAATATTTTTATTGCATTCCAGTTCATTGTGTGTGTGTGTGTGTGTGTGTGTGTGTGTGTATATATATATATATATACACGCATATTATATTATATACACACGCGAGCCGTAACATATGTAAATCGTTAAAACACACACACACTCACTCGTATTATACGCGTATATAATATTCAGCTCGTCGTTTGTATATAATAATAATATTGTATACTGCAAGAAGAGGAGACGAGACCTGTAGCTCCGGCGGAGTCGTTAAAAAATACAGTAAAAAAAAAAAAAAACAAAACCAAAAAAACCAAAACGTCACCGTATTATAGTAATGCAGTTTAGGTATTATACGCATTATACTGTCGGTGTCGCTAATCGTTTTTTCTTTTTTTTTTGACGACGACGACGAACACCCGCGTCCGCCTATAAATACACTTAGGCGCCGCCTGCAATACAGGAAAACGGATATTCACTTATTCGAAAAACCGATGACGACGCCGCAATATTATCGTCGTCCCGTCATTATATCGCGCCACGTATTATCCACGCGAACCGTTCGATACGCTCGTATTTTTTTATTATACGCGCGTGGGTTGCGGGTCCTATATAGTATGGATGTAATGATATCGCGTCGTGTAAAACGAGAGACTCTGTACGCGTCGTCTTCGGTATAAATAGGCTGGTAGTATTTTTTATTATTTTTTTTTTTTTAAAAAAAAAAGAAATTTCGATTTTACCGCCGGAAATCTCGCATAACCGAAAAACGACGATATTACTATGTACGTATTATCGTGTTTTCAACAAAGTCGAGTGCGCGTATATGAATGACGTTATTCGCACCTCGTACACCGCGTATACAGACGGGGACGGGGGCGAGATACTTAAAAACGAGTATCTATACGGATACAAGATACTACAGCGTAATACGAATTTATATATATATTTATATAGACTATACGATACCGTACTATTCGATCGTATGTTGTGTAAATAATATAGGGGCGGGCTTTGAAAGTCCAAAGAGAAACGGGAAATTGCGGGCACGCGCGTTTTCGTATTTTTTGAATTTTTTCAACACTGCTCGGTCAAAGCCCGTGTGTATAATATCTGGGGCTCGGGTCGAAAAGGGCCCACCCAATCTCACTTTTGATTAATTTTAGGAAATTAATAAGAACAAAACGCATTTTTGGGTCTATGATGGTGCAATATATAATTTCCGTATCAGGGGTGGCTCGACTTTTTTTTCCGGTAGAGATCTGCAAAGAATATATTTTCACATTGAGGGTCGACTTCCCAACGAAAATGTATAATTGTAATAATTTACAAATTGCATTAATTTACATTTATCACCTCATAAAACTACAAATAATAAAACCAAAATGTATATTGTTTTTCGTCGCACTTTTATTAAGACCGACATACTGTTGCAAAAATACAAATTGCCAGTACAAACGCTGGTTAATTGTATTACGGCTTGATAGATCGACAGCGAACTAATGATATATTGAGATAACAATTGCAATTGTCTACTGTAATCGTACGAAAACATGTTCTGACAAAAGGGAGATCGGCATTCGAACCGTCCGCGGTCTACCGGTCAACCCCCATCGACCGTTCGACCGCCCCTTCTCTGTCCTCTCTCTGTATACATATATTTATATTATGACGTTCGGGGATGATTCGGGGAAAAAAAAAATTTTAAAAAAAAAATAATAGACAAAGTACAACTGCGCTACACGCTCGTCCGCGTGTTGTAACCGCCATCCGGTAGTCCTGTAAACATATACGAGTATACGTATACTAATATATATTACCGGTGCGCGAACCCGTCCGCGACGGGAAGTGTATTCGCGTTGTAATACAGACGCCGCAGTACTTCTCGTGACCTGTCGATCGGTGGACGGTCGATAACGAGAGGACTCCTTAAAGATGGACACCTTTTCGACCGGCGTCCGACCGCGCGCACGCGCGTCGGTCGTCCATGTGCGTACGCGTGTGCACGCACGTGTACGGATTAATGACGCGCGACGGGCGTAGCTAATTTACACGTTTACGGTATCGCACCCGGCCGAGGGAAAACGGAAAATATCAATTCCGCGATTGACGGCCAGCCTCCGCGGAAGTGTCGGCCGACTGCTGCGAGCTGTGCGTGTACACACACCGGCACGTCCGCCGGTCGCGAGTGCCGATCGCGATGATAACGAATAATTGTAATATCGGACCTGCGCCCGGACCGAGTGTCGTTGTAGTGAAACGGTTTTCGAAACGTCGAAAACGCCTAACCGCGCGGTAAAAAAAAAAAAAACGGCGAAAAACACCGGATTATCATGCCTACTTTATTTATATTGACGTCTCGTAGTCCCGTAGGCCGCGAGACGATTAGTCTGAATAGCGGAGAGGGTAGCGGGGAAGGAGGGAGGAGGAGGACGGCGGAGAGATACAAATCTAATAGTATATCGTGTATAATATATGCAATACTATATCGGACATGGAAAACGGGATGCTGTTGTCTTGCAGTTGTCGTTGCCGTCCGCTTCGCGGCACGACGGTTGTTTCGGAAACAGAAAAATATCTTTGTACCCAATATGCGTGAACGTTGATTTTTTTTTTGGAGACCGATCCGATACAATTCGCTTTAATTCGCGAGATTTCGAAACACAAATCGTTCGCACAACGAACCGTGCGTATTGCCAAAATCTTTGCTGTACGCTGCAACAGGACGGTTCATTTTGGTGGACGGGCCTCACACCGCGCGTCTAGTCCCTGCTCGATATCCCTCGATAAAACGCACTATATTACATTATTATATTTTGTCGCCCGAGAAAAATACGACGCAAACTATTGCCTATTATATTATATTGTCCCCGAATAATGGAAAATACCTGCCTCCTCTGCGGTGTATATAAAATACCTGCCCGCGACGGACGCAATGTCGTGTCCGAAGACGCCGTTGTACATAATACTATAATAATATCATAGTGTCGCGACCGTCCAAGGACTCGCATTCGTCAATGTTCGGTGTCAATGCGTTACACGAAATTCGGGTACCTATGTGTATCGTATATACGAAAGCAGAACAATCTTCTTCGGTTTTTTTTTTTTTTTTGGTGAAAATCGACGATTCGACACGGATTCTCGGGCGGACGCACGCATCGTATATATTATTACATTGTACATATTGTATATAAAAGGGCCCTTTGTACGGATTCCCACACCACTTACGGCGGGATTTATGGGCTCGAGGTCCGATAGTAACACAAGTGAACCTCGTATAATAAATTCCAGAAGTAACGATACCATACTGACCGCGCATAATATAGAGATGAGACAAAAAAAAAAAAAAAAAAAGGACTAAACCTAAAACCTTGAAGTTTTGAACCAATAAGACCTTTTTCCCCCCCCTCTCTCTCTCTCTGTCCACGGTGCGTTAAATATATATTATTATTAGGTACACACAGACAGTGAATGAATATAAGTATATATATATATATATATATAAAACATACACGTGTACATAATATATTTTATACGATCCGCTGGACGTCTTTGTTCCGAAAAATTCCGCCACACGATCGTTATTATCGAAAAACGGAATCGATATAAAATATTACGTGCACACTCGCCCCGCAGACTTTAGCCCGTAAATATTATTCAATTCTAAAGGGTGTCGTTTCGTCTCGTTTATGTGTCGTTTATTGTTTGCGCCCCCCCCCTCGTTCCCTCCCCGACAATTGTCCGAGTACACCGTGTCACGCCACATAATGTTATTTTGTGATTTCGAAACCGTCACGTGCACTCGTACACTAATAATATACTTATAATATACTGCTGCGGTCATTACTGCGCAACGATGGTAACGATTATAATAATAACGCGTCCGGTGTTTTTACAGGCGAGAAACCGTTCAAATGCGAGTACGAAGGATGCGACCGGAGGTTCGCCAACAGCTCGGACCGGAAAAAACACTCGCACGTACACACGTCGGACAAACCCTACAACTGTAGGATATCTGGCTGCGATAAGTCGTACACTCATCCCAGTTCCCTCAGAAAACACATGAAGGTAAGCGTAATCACTATCCGTATTGTTATTTTCATAAATCCTAGAAGAAAAAATATAGAAAAATCGAAAACCATTGCTAAAATGAAATGCGATTAGGACGATATACGATTAAGTTCGGTTAAACTTGTTTTAAAATGCCGTGCTTCCAACGATTTTCGTCAAAATTTTAAAATAAAAAATGCTTATAAACAAAACTATTACATTACACACCTCTTTCTTTTTTTTCTTTTTTTTTTTTTTTCTAACCACTTGATAGTAAATACTACCTATGAACCTTCTATAAATATTTTAAACATTTCAGTTCGGACAAAACAATTTTACCCGAACAAAAACTATAAACCTCGAAAATGTTAAATGCTCATTAATGGTTCGAAAATTGACAGAAATCAGGCTTCAAAAGCCTAATAAATATTTTGTAAATTCCAGGTCTATACGATTATTTTTAGCTGAATTAAAACAAACAAAAAAAATTGAAAATAAATAATACGTTAGGCCGTAAAATGTTTTGTTTTTCCTACTTTTTTTTTCCAATTATTAAGAAAACTACAAGGAAAATCAAAAACACTGCCTACCTCTTACTGACGAAATTTCATTTGGGGAAAATATGCTGTTTACTTCAAAATCGGAATAAGATTTCTGGTACAAACATGTTATCAATATGGTTATAACCGTTGTTTACTGATTTTTCAAATTAAATTACCTATAACAGCGGCTGCACCCGTCCCCATTATCCTAGGACAGCTTTTTGTTTATTTGTTATTTTGATCCGATCTTACGTTATTACGTGCGACGGTGTTGCTATGGTTGGGTACCATCACGCGCGCGGTCGATACGCGATTTACGATAAAATATCAACGCTTGACTTTTTCCGCGCAGGTACACGGCAACGGCAAGATGGACAGCGACGGCAACTACGATTCGGAAGACTCCAACTGCTCGTCCGGCGGGTCCATCAGGGTGACGGACAGTTGCACCACGTCGACGCCCAGCGTCGTGTCGCCCGGCGACCACCACGGCGGCGGAGGCGGCGGGTCCCAGACGCCGTCCATCCTACACCCGACGGCCACTTCGGCGCTGCCGCTTCCCACGCCGCCGTCGTCCGATTGGTAAACACGATTTTCGATTATACCGCCTTAATAGGGTTTTCGTTGGCCCGCGTCCGTCCTATCCACCGCCGAACGAAAAGAACTCGCCGTCATAAATGTTCGCGGTTTCCAACGTTTGCTTTTTCATGACGATCGTGCGCGGATAACGCTTTGAAAAATCACGCGAAAGTATTATATTTCAAGTACGCGCGCGTGATCTGAGGAGAATGTTTAGAATACTGTATAATAATGGATACGATACCGAGTTACATTTCGTAGACTTGTTCGAATATTTCAAGTCGAATACTTTGCGTGTTTTGCGTTTTACCGGGTTTATTACATACAGAAATACGCATACTATTGCGTTTCCAGGCTTTTGATTTCGAAAATACGTTTCGCCCAACACCACCGCGCACTTGCATAGAAAAAAAAAATTACACGAATAATATAGCATTAATAATTACGTTAGGTTATGTTCTACGTTCGCCCGCATCGGATGCTCCAATGACCGTGGACATATTTATTACAAGTCCCTGGGACGAGGGCCGTTTTACGTGTAACGCATTGAAGCCAATAACGTAATACGTGCGAGGGAAACAGAGACGATACGCGATCTTTTCGCGGCTGAACAAATTGTGTTTACACGTTTCACTTATATATTCTGTGTATTGATATTATACGTTCTATATAAACCTCGGGTCCAAAAAGAAGGCCGAGCTCAGTTGCCGTGAAAATCGTGTATAATGGGCTTAGCCAATCCAATCTAATCACCAAAACTATTACAATATACGGATGGTCCAATGTCGCGAACAAAAATATTTATGCTTTTTCAAAAGTGACTGATCTGATTTGAGCCTTTAAATGATGCATTAAAGGTGATTCGAAATACTGAGTTTGGACCTTCTTGGCGCTAAGTCCTGATATCTTTGGTCCCGGGGAGTTTTGTCGGTTCCGTGTAGTTACATATGAATTTCGAGCAAACTCAATTTTGAAAATTCNAGTCCTGATATCTTTGGTCCCGGGGAGTTTTGTCGGTTCCGTGTAATTATATATGAATTTCGAGCAAACTCAATTTTGAAAATTCAGAAAATTAAAAGAGGGGGGGGGGCGAAATTACGCAGGCCAAAAAAACGACATAAATCGATCAAAATACTATTGTGTCCACTTGACTCACGTTACTTTCTTTTCTTTTTTTTTTTTTCCTGAAATTCGCAGGTACATGCACACGGCCGCCGGACCGGGGGCGCCGTCCATCCAACAGTCACCCGTCGACCACGGTCACCACTATCTGACCGACTTCAACCACCACCATCATTCGCATCACCACACGTCGCTAATGGCCCATCACCATCACGGCACCGCGGCCTATTGAAACAAATCCCCCGCTTCGTATTACGACACCGTCGCGGCGTCTACCGAGTGGAGGTAGCACACGACCGCCGCCGCCATCGACGCCGTTCGCTTTCCGTCCGTTGCAATGACGAGAAACGCCGGAATCGCTGACGTCACGCGTACTACCCATACTATAATATCGTATTGTTTTGTCGGAAAACTATTTTATTATTTTTTTTTTTTCGATTTCCCCCCCCTCCTCTTTTTATTCCGACAAAATGTAATAAATTTAATTTTTTGTATCGCGTGCACGCATTATTGCGCACGCCTATTGAATTTATTATCGTTGCGACTGTGTAATATACGTGTACGCGCGCGCGCGCGGACGTTGTTGATTTTAACGTGTTTATACATATACGTATTATTTATCGACGACTTTTTTTTCTCATTACGATATATGAAGTGGGGGCCTCCTGTGATTTTGTATTTATAATATAACGTTGTTATCATTATTATTATTATTATTATGTAATTATTATTTTTTTTTTTTTTTATATAAGTGTGATTATCGATGGGTTTTTTTTTTTTTACTTAATTCAAAGGTTCACGTGTATTTATTGATATTATCCGGAGACATTGATTTTATACACCTATCGCCTATTAATATAATGATATTATCGTAATAATACCTATATTATTTTGTACACGTTTTTTTGTTTTTATTATTATTATTATAATTTTTTTTTTTTTTTACGCGTGAAAACGTTACCGGTACCACAGGCGTTATTTTTGTCGTTTGTTATTACTATACTTATACTACATAGAATATTTAAAAACCTTTCGGTTTCTGTGCCTTTTGAAAAAAAAAAAAAATTTGACGACGACAAATAATATTATTAATAAATCGTTACTCCGATACGATATGGGATGTTAAACAAATCACTCTATTATTATGTTCGATAAAATAATATCGCCGTTTAAGGAGCAACACCGCCTATATCATTTTTCGATTGAATTGAGTTGGACGTAAAATATTGTATTTTAGAGCCAAAAGTGTACAGTACGAAATATGTAAAGTTTGCAGCTCGAAACTCTTAGTGTGTTGTAGAAAAAAAAAACGATTTTATTTTTATGAATATTTTCTGACTTAAGGGATGGTAAAATAATAAACCAATGATTGTCTAGGTCATCACTTAATATTAAATGACCACTGGTAATAAAAAATGTTACCATCAAATTAAAATTAAAGCGCGCTAATGTATATACGTCTCTAGTTTGTGACATTGCTTTATGTAAAATAATTTAACAATATATACAGTTAAATTGTGAATAACAATATATACAGTTATTCACAATTTACCTACCATAAATCGCTATGTATCTAAATTTTAAGTTGCTTCTATTTTTTTTTTTTTTTTTGCTCTCCTGCAATAAAGTCGAGAAAAACGAGATACGCGGTGTTGCTACTATTAACCGAAAATATTATATCAAATTATTATTTGTGTGTCCTTCCAACAAAAAAAACTGTAATCTTCCATTCGTTTACAGGTACCTATTATAAACTATTAAATATTATAATAAAATTTATTATAATTATTATAGACTATATTATTATTATTGTACAACCTTGTAATATTAAAAATACTGAAAGAGTTCGAGATGGCCTGCTCTTGTACTCTCTTTCAGTTTTATAAGTAGAAAAAATTAAATCATATAATTATATAATATTATGTATTGAAGGCCCAAATTGTAAAAAACTATTTATAATATATATATTTATATATATATATATATATATATTTATATATATATATATTATATACAAATAAAAATTATAAGTGATATATGGAAATAAAATTTATTTGTGTTTAAAAAAAAAAAGTTGGTTTAATATTGTTATTATAATTGATTTTCGGTAGTACTCAATTAAAATGTCAAAATCACACTACCGGAAATTAATTATCTAAATACCGATTTAAAAAACGTTTACAATTATTTGTTTGGGTTCAGAATTCTGGAATATTAAGTCAGCACGTCATAAATGTAGAGGTCGTCCCGGCCAAAGGTATACGTCGAAGGCTGTGGTTGAAAATGTCCGGGAGGAACGTGAATAGAAGAAAGTGAGACTATGTAAGAAAAGATGACGTGAAATATCAGAGGCTTTAAACGTGCACAAAAAGGAAGAGTATATAATAGAAGAAGAAGAAGAATATATGTGATTACATGAAATGGACTAATGGTTAAAAAGTATAATATTAAAATGCAAATAGAATGATGATGCAACAAAAAACAGTGAATAATATTATTAAGGCAAGAAATCAATATTTAGATTTGATATTAGAGTTGGAGATCCAGTTTCTCCAGCCACTGAATAAATGTGGTCAGGGTTGTGAGACAATCGATTTTGGATCTTTGATAGAAGCGGCTACTGAGCATAATGAGATCCTCTGCAAGTATTCTTTCTATTTCAGTATTAGATCCAATGGTGGTCTATGGGAGAGCATACGATGTATACCCGGATCCTTATTTTCGGATTTATACGTAAACCTATAAATAAATTTGTTGATTAAACAGGCTAACCAAAAATATGTACATTAAAGGTCTACGCGAGCTTTTAATTAAATTAATGGCGACGATAAATTTTATCGTCATCATAAAACCGTAAAAAAAAAATCATAATAAATATTAATAATAATAAAAAAATTATTATTTTATTATATAGTCTGTCCCCAAAAAAAGCAGACCAGTATTCAAGTTTAAAATGTAGATCTTCATTGTAGATATCCCGCTTAATAGAATAGTACCATCAGGTTACTATTAACTTTCAAACTAAGTCTATACGTTTGCACCGTTTTATCTACATCATGATTGAATAGTACTAAATTCGTAATTTCGGTTTAAATATTAAAACAAATTCATAATTACAAGAATATATTTTGTTAGACACTAAGTAAATTAATTTTAAAGCGATTACACAAATATATTTCAAGCGTAGCAGTTGCTACTCTTCGTATTTTGGGTGGGTTGAAGTACCCGGTAATTTGGATTTTGTGTCGCCGGATAGAATGAATGTAAACATTTAAAAGTTATGATTTTTATCTTTTAGACAGTAAAATTACGATAAAAAAATGTTCGAGATGGGCAGTGCAGGTTTTGAATTTTAAATTCTACTACACCATAAAAATGTAGTTCGGGCGCAACTAGTTGGGATGTCCGCTACATAAACATCAAATAGCGAAGAAACCAATACTGAGCCATGCGCAAGACCATTATTTAATATTCTCGGATTGTTAGTTTTTCCATACAAATGCACTTTGAATGACCTGTTGTTAAGCATATTGTTGATTAATTAGACGGTATTCCGGTAGCGAATAGTGCAAAAGAGTTTGTATGGAAGACGGTGATCGGAAGTCGGCAACGATAACAGAGATCGTTAATCGTGATTCCATTGCGGATAGGTAACCGAGCGCAATGCGCGGCTCGAGAGGGTATGATATAACAACATCGTGTCACAAGAGATTCACTCACGTGAACCGAAACCGCGTGTGTTGTTCTCGAAGCATAAAAGATGTCGTAAGCATTATACGCGCATTATTATTTGAAGAATAATGTTTAAATCTCGGTCGTTGTTTAGCAGTTTCTATTCGTCGCAGGAACAAAAAAAGAAAGAAATGAAAGGATTGGTCGGAAAGTTGTACGCAATTTAAAATGTTAATCTGTTATCACAATACGGCATACTTTTCGGAACGCGAATTAAAACTGCACCCGGGCATTTTACACTTAAAAATTTTACTATTTTATGAATATTATTTTTGTTTGACATTTGTTTTTCCTTAGGGAGGAAATTACCATGGAGATCAGTATTAAAGATAAATACAAATAATTAGAGCGTAAAAAGTAATGGGACTTTGCAAACCAGTGTCGTAGTTTATCTAGATTTTAGATAAATAAATCGGCTAGAATTAAAAACAAGTTATCTGAAACAAATAATTGAATCATCTAGATAAATATTTTTTAAATCATAGAAAATTAATTTTTTCATTAGAAATAATAAGTAAAATATTTCATTTATACCAATGTATGTATTAAAACAAATAGATTAATAAATTGCATCAACCTCCACACAACCTTTTTGATACCTACAGATGTGTACTAAATTTGGTACACTTTTACTATTTAGTACCACTGTACAGCAATACCTTTAATCTTAAGGTCATTTACTAACACACTGAAGAGTCGCATTTTCGCTCCATGTATAACTGCCTTTAAGGACACTTTATAGGTATAGTTGAATTATTTTTGTGTAGCTGATCGCACATGATTTTTTTTTCTTCTAATAAAATAATATTCCTTGTAAAACCCCTGATCGTATATATTATCCCCTCACCCTTCTCAAAAAAAAAAAAAAATAATAACTTTATGTATTTACTTGCACAATTCTAAATCGCATGGGAACCCGTAAATCGGTTTTTTTTTTTAGAGAAAAATTTCCAAATTATTCGTCTTTATTTAAATAATTTGATTTTTATATAACTTTTATCGGAACTTCATCTAGACAAAATTATTCTAGCATTAAACTTTTATCTTTGTCTAGCTTTTTAAAAAAATAATTTCTATGTTACACGGTAACGTAAAATTATTTTTATTAATTATTTCTTAGATAGGTACTTTAATTTATAATCTATTAATATATAAAGGTCAGATATTCATTTTATTATTTTTATTTGTTTGTATTTATATTTATATGAAGAGTGAATTTCACCATACTGTAAAAACATTTATATTTAATTTACATTATTTTACCGTACTAGAAACAATAACAATATAATGAAGAAAAAGTAACCTGCTGAGAATCTATGGTACGTTAACAAAATATTATCTCATTCGGTATATACAACGGCACCGATGACGCAACACAATTTACTTGCATACAAAGTGATACTATACGCCCATTAGAATAATATTATTACCATGACACTTTCAAATGAATCATTTAAATGTTTGATAAATTAATGTAAGTTTATCAGTTATATTTCGACATTATTTAAGGTATAAAAAAAGCCAGGTGACTTCGCACGTGGATGAACGAACTGTTGTAGGTGAGAAGTTAGAATGTAGTAGAGGGGAAATTTAATATAATATATTACTATCTAAAATAAACCATTGCTAACGAAACAACGATTTTGAGCGAAGTTCAGTTGATAGTATTGCTTTGTCAACAGTATATATGTCATATTATGGTAAAATAATTTCATAGGCATTATTATATATTTTCTTTAATAATATTTGTAATAATTTGTTACTTTCATTCTGACAACTCGGAGAAACTCTCCATTTTTAATAAACATTTAAAGGAGAAATGATTACAATGGTTTAAGGATAAATAATTTTAGTGCCAACAAGGTTATTTGTAAAAAACATTTTCGGGATGACCTAATAATAAAATTAAAGGATATTGTTGATAGATCAAGAAATTTTATTTGTTCAGTAAACATATTTGACATGCAGGTGTATGTATGTCCATATGGAAAGGGGTATCTATAAACTAAAGAAGTCAAATTAAAAATTAAATAAAATAATAGAAGAAACATTGGGAATTTGATGAAGTTTTTGAACACAATAATTATACAAATACTGAAGTAATTGATTGTCTAATATATTATTTAACTGGTATGTAACAAAATATTATGTTACATTTACTATTAATTAATTTACTAAAATGTTATTAAATATTAAAAATCAATTAATTACTTTTATAGGGTATCTATCTAAACAAATGTTTAAATACATTAATGATTACAATACATGTAAGTCAGCTTTTGTAAAACTACAAGTTTATTCTGAAAAATGTTTCTTCATTAGTTAATATGAAAACAAAAGGACGATTGATACACCCAAACATTCTCTTTTTTTGATACTTTTTTTGTACTGTGGGAAACATTTTAAGAATTTTTTTCTTAATTAAAAACTCTAGGATCCAGTTCACATAATTATTCACTATTTATTTTTTCAATAAAATGATTTTCGCTGTTTTATATCCAATATTATGTGTTCGATTATTTATTTTCGCTATTTTGGAGGTGAACCGTAAAATATATTTGATAATAACAAAAATAATAATATAGTACGCAAAACATTCATCAGCTGCGGAAAATATAATCACAGGTACAATTATACACCATTAAAAACTGTTTAGCTTTTTTTTTTGTTTTGCAAAATCGTTATTTGTTTCCTTCTGATTAAAAGTTAAATTTGATAAACACCATTAAAAAAAAAAAAAAAAAAACCATTTATATGTAACTTAGTTTCACAATAAATATAGGTAAGTAATAAACATAATTTTTCTTTATATATGATATTTTAAAATATTTATTTAAACCATACACACAGTAATGTCAAATTATCAGTATTATTAATTAGATACTATACAAGTATACTAAACCGTAGATATTAATATAGTGCATTATTTTTCCGTATTACAATCCCCTACAACAAGGATCTAAACATATTAATGTGATCTGTAAATATTATAAATAAAAAAAAAAAAAAACTTATGTTATAGACAATTATTTTACACGAAATTCGAAAAAGTTGTGATTACGTTTAATTTATATCGTAATACAGTATGATAATTATAGAATAATAAGTTCCCTATTTTATTTTACAAATTATATTTAAGTTATTTAATTCGACCAATTGCGGCCTCATGCGCCAAATATTCCGTATCGGCTAGTTAATATGCATCCCAAAGCGACCAGAATCATTGCGGACGGATATAACAGTGCTGACGATACCGCCGATGATGACGACAATTCCGCCAATGATGAAGACAATGATAAATTCTTTTGCAGATTTTGATTGGTCAACACCAATGCCGATTTAGGCCTCATTGTGAAACCGCTCGAGTTCAGAATGTTTCTAAAAATGTTTAACATTAGTATAGTATATATAATAACTAGCTGTGCCGCAAGACTTTGCCAGTGTCGGTAACGACGAACAAATTTAAATAAAAATTAAATCGTGATTCCCAATCTCAATATCCCTCCCTATAACACCGATGTTCAGCGTTCTTAATTGTAAAAATGTAGGAAATTAAATTATAATTAGCCTACGATTATCGCAGTAATATAAGGAATTTATAGAAAACATTTTGAAAATCGGTTGAGGAGTTTATAATAATACTTATATTATTATAAATGGCAATGAAACAATTCGTGGACCAATGCAAAAATAATAGTTCAAAACCCACAAGCAGATTCTGAGATTAGCGCATTCAAAAAAACAAACTTTTCAAATTTTTTTTTTTATTTTATAGTTTATATTACGTAGTAATAGGAAAAATTAGGCACATTTTCGAGAGACCCGTAAATCAAAGTCCGATATTTATTGTAAATCCGTAAGTTACATAATATATAAACTCGGGTTTATATTATGCATTTATTTTATATATATATTATCAAAAGTAATGATATATAAAAAACGAAAAAATTTATTAAAAGTACTCAATAATTATGAATCCAAAAACTAACACTAACTGTAAAATATTGAATCAAAAAATTTGTGGTCTGAAATCTGTAATCCAGTTATTTTATTAATATATCAACTCACCCTATGGAATATTGTGAATTTATACTGGGTGTGTGTACTATCCACGTTTGTTGTTTGTTTACAGTCGATAAACCGGACAGATCAACACGTTCTTCTTCGGTACCCACGTTCATGACCACCAAATACGTCTCCGCTCCAGACAGTGATCTAAACGCGAGACATATTTATAATATTTAAATATTAACTAAACAAATAGGACGCTCTGGAGAAAAGATTCAAATAGAATTTAAAAGATGGACGATATTTAATAATCTATAGACGCAACGTAAAGTGCAAACACTGACCGGTCAAAAGAAATAAATATTTGTCCGAATAAACGTAAATAATTGTTTTATACGTTAAACATAAATCAAGTCCTAAATGTAATCCCGAAAAAATTCTAATATCACAGGGAAAACAATATATTATCATGTGGATTATTTAAAAATTGACAAACAGTTGAGTTCAGGCATATTGAAAGAAATGCAATTAAATTCAAACAAAACAGATGGTGAGATTTTGTGGCTTGAAGTCGCAGAAAATTGAAGTAGAAGAGGATAGCGTCGACGGTTAACTTAAACCGCGTACCTGGAGAAAGCGAACACCCAGTCGGACACGACGCACCCTTCGTAGACACCATGCTGCATCGTCCTGGTCTTTCTGAGTCCGGCCAACCGTTTGTAGACGGCGTAGTGGCTCAGGTGGTCACGTTGGTTCTTCTGCGCTGCCAAATTGAGCCGCCAATAGTTCGGGTTGACCGGTAACCACGTCCTGACCTCCGGGTTGTCGGTGAACCCGGCATTGACGGACGCGTCCCACTGATACGGTGACCGCGGCGGGTCCCGGCTCTGCGTCTTGTAATATTCTGGACCGGCGTTTAGTCCCATCGGGTCCACCGTCTGCGACCACCTGATATTGGCGTCCTCCATACCGATCTCCTCGCCCATGTACGTGAACACCGTGCCCGGTAACAGCAGGTTTAGCATGTTAATTCCGTCCACCATTTCGCTACCAAACCGCGTCGCAACCCGCGGTTGGTCGTGGTTTCCTATCTGCGAACAATTATCATAGCTATTCATATTTTAGCGTTCGAGTATTACTACTTATGACACAATTGAAAAACAATTTGGATTAATTGTTCTGGAACGGTAATTAAATGGTTCTAAAATATTTCAGTATATATAAAATATTTAAACAATGGAATGTCATGAAGAATTTATCAAAAACAGGCCTACTAAGCTTTCTATATTTGTAATTGGTTAATATATAAAAATGCATTGCTTATGTTTCTTCGTTCACTTTTTATGCATAAAGCGTTTTTTCTTTATCATTAATATGGTCAATGCTATGTTTGGGCTTTTATAACAATACTCTCCTTAAGAATTCAGAAATCTTTAATGCGTTTTGAGTCTTGGTTAGCGACTACTCAATCCGGCTTTTCGCTGTCTTATACGAAAAAGGGGAATTTAATTTTGTCTTATACTGGTAGAGACGGCATCGGCATAGTTTAAACCTCTTCAGATCCATAAGTTATAAATATCATGACATTGTAAGAGGTAAAGTGTTGTTTAATTTGCATCATGTATACTTGGATTTTGAGTGAAGCCAAGAAGATTATGATTTTACAAAAATGTTTACTTATTATTATTATTATTTTTTTTAATAACTTTTCAAATAGGATTATTGCTCCAGTTTTCATTGGTAATACTATTTCGGAAAATAAATTTGGCTGAAGAGGTACTTAAAGGTGACAGTTTTTAGATTTTTCTGAGAAATCTGCAAAAACTTTTTAAAACGGGGAAGAAACTAAAAAACGAACAACTGGTATTATTTTAATCAATCGAAAGAAAAAAGAGAATATGTGTTCAATATTAAACAAATATTATGAATGAAAATATTTAATGCCAATGCAATTATTTTACCATATAATGTCATATATATTGTTAAAAAAGCAATGCTATTAATCTTTATTACTCTGCAATAGTTTATCGTTGCTTGCAGATATACATTATATTTCCCCTTTACTTACTTTTCAATTTCTCACCGATATCACTAGCTGCAAACACGTGCAAAGTTGCATTTTAATAGTTGTACTCGAGTGCTGGTCAACGATAAAATGATTAGCGCTAATACTCACCACCCAATTCGGCCATTTTCCCTTTGGCATGTTGTCTAACCATTGATTCACTGTGTTGCTGAATTTGGTAGCATTTGATTGAGCATTAAGTTCGGTAACCAATTGAAAATTAAATGGTAAATGCACTCCTATTTGTTTTTCATTTCCATAATACCTCATAGTGTTTTCTAAGGTAGTGTACGATTCGATTATCATGACCCTATCATTTAAAGAAAAAAAAATTAAGAGCACGATTTTCAACTATTATACAACCAATTAACAACATATAATTTTAGGAATATAATTTTGAGTTCCAGTTTATTGCCATTAAAAAATTAAAAAAATCAAATGTCTAAAATAAGTATTTCTCCTGTCATTGCCATTACTAATATTTTAATGAACGTGAATAATATAAGACCAAAAAATGATTATATCACTATTTTATGTAACCCATTCCTAGTCTAATTACATCATTTTAAATTACAGGGTATTGATTGCTCCAAAACGCAGTCGTTTGAAAACTGGTCGTTAAGATTTGTAAAACATATACAATCAGTAAAAAAACCCTAAAAATATATACCTGGTTTTTCCGTCTTTTTGTTTGTACTCATCTAAAACGCTTCGAAACTGGCTTATCATATCATACGTTTCATTTAAATCCATTGTATACGGGTGATCATATTGCAGATAGGTATTTATCTCTTTTGAAGCTAGGCGTTCAGGTTTTCTGGGCTCGTCCAAGAATCGCGAATCCTCAAATAAAAACGGTACGGCGTCTACTCTGTATCCATCTACACCAAGTTCTAGCCAAAATCTCAAATTATTCTGAAGGAAAAACAATACATATGATTTGTTTTTAAAAAATCTTGTACTTCAATATCAAATTCAATATTCTACTTTCGGTAATCGAGCATAATTAATATATATATATATTATATTAAGTGTCTATAATGTGTTAACATTTTAAATTATATTTTTCAATGTGTTATTAATTTTTAGTTTTTTTATGACACTTGACACCTACAACATACGTAAAATATTATTCCAACCACCAGAAAAATGATTACGTCAAAATGACTCAGTAAGTACAATACTCTCCGGCACAACGGTCCCCTCTGATGGGGAATTGACCGTTGGGTCACGGTCAAATGTTTAGATTATAGGCTTAGATTAATATTTTATGTAAAGGGTTGACATGAGTTACTTCGTTCAACCTATACCCTAGTATTAAATAGTATTTTTAATGTCAATGTAAGCCCGTCCCACGATGGGGAAAACGAAATTTGAACGTATCATTTTTTTATATACTATATGGCAACAATGGGGAAGTANACTGAAAATACTTTGCTGAAATAAATGTGTTAATAAACTTTTTATAAGGTCAGCAACGAAAAGGCTAGATGATATACGAGAACATAGTTATATGCAATGTATTATATCATAGTTATTACAAACATTATAGCGTTAACGGTTAAAAATTAATTATTTTATTTACCCAATTATTTGGCGGTAATTTCGTACCGTTAACATCGATTTTGGCGTCTTTCCAAACGTAATAATCCGTGTACGGATCGATTCTTTGTACGGACTTTGTAAACCATTCGTGTTCGTCGCTTGAATGATTGGGCACAAAGTCCAAAATTATTTTCAATCCTATAGTAACATTGTAACACATAATTCGATTATTTATTTCATAATCATCGTTTTAGGTTTTTATAGAAACAAACGCACTTTTATAACGATGATTGATTTTGTTTTATAAAAAAAATAAATTTTAACAACAATATTTACTTTAGAAATAAAAATAATATTTAGATATGTGTATTCCTTTAAAATTGATATTTTTGTATTTTTTTTATAGCGATTGTATAAAAAAACAATTAGAAAAAAAAGGAATAACATGTAATAGATGGGTTTTGTCCATTGGTGTACAGCAATATGCTAATAAAATATACTCAAAGAAAACATAATGATAAAAGTGGTATTAATTTAAATTACCCAGTGACTTAAGTTTATTTTTCAGCGATACGAAGTCGTCAATCGTGCCGAATATACTGTCGATTTGATTGTAATCCGAAATGTCGTAACCAAAATCTGCCATGGGCGATTTGAAAATCGGCGACAGCCAAATACAATCCACTCCTATGTCTTTGAAGTGTTCCGCTTTTTCTTCGATTCCTTGACAAAATTTGTAAAACGTAAGTAAAAAATAAAAAATGAAAAAGTTATTATCAGTTATAACGTTATGTTGTTAATTAGAGTTTAAACGCAGATGACGAAATTATTTAAAGACGGCGAGCGTCGACTTGGTTCGCAATACCAGATACCCCTTATCATTGAATCGATTCCCATAAAACATATTATTGAATTGGCACCAAATAATATTTTATACAAGTGTATCTCTAAATAGAAAAAGTACTTATGTGAAACTAATATTTTTGGCAAAACAGTGACAACTAACTATTAAAAATGATCTAATCATTAAAACGATAACGCGTTCAATGGTTGAGATTTATATTAGATATTTCTATACTACGTTATTTAGTACTTACAATTAATTTGAATCTGATATTGTACAATACAGCAATCTCAGTTAGTCTTGTGTATTCGTGTATCAACAATTTTAATTATTAAGTGCTTTGGTCAAAAAGAAAAATTGTGAAAAAAATTAATTCATGGGAATCTTTTCATTCTGAGTTTAATTTTCAATTTTATTCACTACACCCAAATTAGTACAATTTTCTTAATGTATTATATAGTGTTCAAGCTGATATTTAATTTATTATAAGGAGTTGGTATAAAATCTAGATTTCAATACATTATACATTATTTATAATTTAAATTGTTTATAACCATAGCTTATGCTGGGGTCAGGTGGGATAAGGGACTACCCCACCCCCTTGACTGTATATATACATATTTTCAATTGTAACAATAATGAGTAAGTAAGGACTTTTTTTTTTTAAAAAATATACTATTTTCGTAAGTTTATAATTTATTTTACCACCGCAGTTTATTAACAAACTTACTATGCTACTGCATTATCACAGAATAAGATATTATTACGCTTATAAGATTACAGTTTTTATCTAACAGTGGTTTCACTCGTTATAAACATTGTTTTGTTATTATTACAACATTACCAGTATTATAGTGCATATGCGGGCTGCCACACATTTTCAGATAATATCTATAATTGCAATATTGAAATTATTGATTTGATGTTACCAACAATTTACGCATCGTTAAGTTTGCCCACGGATGACGTAGGTAATAACAATACAACATTTAATTAGTGAAAAATAATTTTGTAGATCAGCGATTCTTAACCTATGGTACGCGTACCACTCTTGGTAAAAATTATTTGATAATTGAAAGAAAAAAGTAATTAGTTATAATCGAGGTTTTAATGTAGTTTATTAATCCATAAATAATAATACAAATAATAACCACACGCATTTATTACAATTTTTATTTTTGTTTATTATTATGGTCAATGGCTGTATATTTAATAATAAAAAGTTCCTTACATAAATAATAACGTGCACATTGTATGTTTTAATAATTATAACGAATTATGAATAGCCGTATCAACTGGTACGTGAAAAATGATCAAATGTGTTAATGGTACGTGGACATAAAAAGGTTGGGAACCGCTGATGTATTTTGTATACTTAGGTTATTCGTCATTGCATTCGTATAAAACATACCTGATAGTATTGCACACTAAAATGGGCGGTCATCGTTTCCGACAAATTGACTTAATTTTCGTTTCGGCCAATTATCCGCCAAAACGAAGAAGATCCCACTAAATTTATTTCTATTTATATTATTGAGAAGGAGTTTGAGTACTCCTAGTCTATATACAGTGTTATAGATAATCAATGTACGTCGATATAATTAATTGTACACGTGGTTATTACTCCCTATTATAAATATATATAAATTGATCTAATCATTCTTATTTATATCAGTTTAGATGGCGTGTGTGTTATCGGGCTCAAAGTTAATATCGACGAGATTTCGAGTATTACGACAACGTAGCCATGGTAATCCCGAGTAAATCGATGTGTATATATTGTTTTTAGTTTGAATTCGTCATAAGTAAACGTGGTAAATAAGAATATTCTAAATAGGAACAAAATTTAATTTTTCGCACAAATCCATCCTCAATATGGATCTCTTACTATAATAATGACAGGCAGGTAGAAATAGATTTGGCGAAAACCAAAATCGAACCTTTTTTATTTTGGCGGACTGTCACAAACGAAAATCGTGTTTTTGGTTGATCAATGATTTTTTAATACTCGACTAGCTTAAATATTGTGTGTTACTGCCCAACATTTTTGTAGTTTTTTTTTTTTATGTACATTTTATGTTTATTATCAGTCAGAACTATAAGAACGCCACTACTGATCTACTAAATTTCTGACAAAACAACGAATTAATTATAAAACTTTAGGTCCCTCCCTAATGAAAAATCCTGTTTATACCACCGATTTATAATATATTTTATATAATTATTATTATTTTAATTGAACTATTATTGATATTTTCATTTGACTAAATATAATTTAATATTTATATTTCAAATTGTTTATTATTAATATGTTAGTTATTTATTTATTGTTTTGAATAATATTTTGATAACCAATATATTTATTAAAAAAATTTCGAGGGAGCCAATTCAATAGGTAAAATTATGGATTACCTAAGTTTGAGAACTAATTCTATAATCCCGTTAAAGACGAGGAGAATATATTAAAAAAACCGGAATGTTACGGTTTGTATGTACNTTTTTAAATAAAATAATTTTTTCTTTGTCACTGCCACCTTTTTTTAGCTCAAATAGTACCAATGTGTTACAGACGTTATAGTACCGCAACGAGCGGCAAATAACTTCATACCAAAAAAAAAGGCTCCCAAAAAAAAAAAAAAAAACAAATGGAGAAGTTTGCCTTTTGCGCAATTTGATTTTAATTGTTCAAAACTGTTTAAATTTTTAATGTTACCCAACTACTTAGGTATATATAAAATATTCACTTTCAAAACAAAAATAAACATCATTATACCTTTGAGATCTCCCACTCCGTCGCCATTACTGTCTCTGAACGATCTAGGATAGATTTGATAGAAAATCGCGGTTTGCCACCAATCCAATTCGTTATTCTCGTTTTTGGCGATTGCGTTATCAGCTTTCGCGAAATAATCCACTAGGTTTAATAGCAACAAAACCATACTGAAAAAATATATATATTGAAAAAAAAAAACAACAGAAAATTATAAACTAATCACTGAAACGTTAAGGGGGAAACCAGAAAATTTAAATCTACTACAATATACTTAATATACAAGATACAATTATAATTGTAATTATTGTGTACGCGAACGGTAAATATTTTTCAATTACGTTTTTGTGTTGTCATCAGCTTACCATACTCGACGCATCCTATCACTTTAGAAACAGACTTTGTTATCTATAATATGGCACTCGAAATGACAGTTTGAATAACTTGAACGGTACAATATTAGTTTACGTATAAAATATTTCCGCCGAAGCGTAAAACAAACGTCGGAGTACAATAATATCGTAAACGAATAATGGTATAATAATTTTCTAATTGAAATCCTATTTATATAAAATATTTTCTTTGTAAACCTTGGACCATAGATTAAAAAGAAAAAACCCATAATACGAAACTCGATACATAATAATAATATAACTTTACGATACAAAGGGTTGACCTATGAACTCTCTTCTAAACACAATTTATTGTGTTTATTTATATTTTTTACTGGAAAAGCATTGTATAACAATATATTTGTTTTCGAAACGTAATAATAATAGTTCTTGTTTGATAAAGTTGTCACGTTGCCCATCACAGTGGTCTTTGCGGTCGCCTTTTTTCTATTACATAACAATACAAAGCGCAAAATACGGGTCGCATCCGAGTTCCGTCCAAAATGTGAAATTTGAATTTTAGGACAGACTAGTTCCGTCCTTGGTTTTTAAAATGGATGTACCTTTTGCGTCCTGTGTTATTTATTTAGTTTTACGAGTTCCGTCCCGTGTAATTTATTTAGTCACACGAGTTCCGTTTCGTTTTGCATTTTCTACACTATACAAATATAGTATACAATTTACGATTCCGGTAACAATTTAATATTATTTAGAAATAAAGATAATGTTGCGTTCAGTTATCACACAAAATTATCGAATTTGTATAGGTTGTAAGTTATATTATAATATAATATATACATAAATATTTAATACAAATATGAAATGTATACAAAAATTGTTTAATGTTGAAGTTAAGGGCTATTGCTTTTGAAAAATCGTTTTAGGAAGCCCTTGACAAACTATTGGACTTTTGAATAAGTTATATTAATTGAATAAATTTAATATAGTATAATAATAACAATTTTTACAATATGGCCTGATCACTTTGTATTGTTTGTGACTCACGTATTCATGTTGCCGTTGTGTTAGGCCAAGCACACGTCACATATTAAACTTATGCAGCATGAAACTATCGCAAATGCTGCCCCCCCTACCCCACAAATACATTGAAAATATCTAAATTACGCGTTAAATTTCAAAAAAATGGCAGGTACTTATATTTACTATATTTATTTACGAGTATTAACCGTTTTAATAATTTTATTTTTACTTTAATATCTTATTATTAAATACAATGTTTTTTTTCATTATATTACATTTTTTATTAACATTATAACGTATAATACTTTTTAAATGATGGTCATTGAATCAAAAATATTAATTCATGATTTATGGACACATAGTATACTTAATAAATATGCAAAATTAAAAATTATGTAATAAAAATATAGCTTTAAGGTTAATGAACATAGTTTCCAGGTCCTTCGTAAAAAATAAATTTATATATAATATATATTGTAAATAAATTTAACAAAAAAAATCATTTTTAATACATTTTTTTAATTTTGCTGAGTATTAAGATTTAAAACAACTTTGGTTTTTGTTTTTTCTTTGTTTAAAAAAAGAAAAAAATTATGTTTCTAAATTATAAAGGTAATATACATTTATAATATATATTATACACATTTATACACTTATAAATATAAGTTATATTGATATAATAGAATTATACCGGATAACGAAGGTATCTTATTATCATTGCAATTTAATACCCAGACACTAGTACAGGGAGAGGAGAGGTTAGGGTTTCAACCCCCTCCATTCACCAAACTTTCATAAAAATTATGGTGAAAATAGATTTTTGATAAAGTCTCAAAAGTGGTTTCTGTAATTGAGGAAGATAAATACAATTTTCGTTTCACATTATTTTATTACTATAAAGTAGGTACCCATATATTGTTGTTATTGTCATTTCTAAATTTTTGTGGTTTTCCTGTTTTTAAAAAATTATAAATGATACGACGATATTGTATAACCCGCATTATCATCGCAATAATATGAATTACGTTATAATTTAGGCTGTATTCACTAAAAAATTATTATATGTAAAATGTAATAATAGCAGGTACCCAAAAGGCTCAAATTGAATGTTAATAAAAAATTAAAACTGTTCCAAATCGGTACCTATTAGGATTGATTATTCATTACTAAAAACTGGACATATTAATTGTGGCCGTTGAAATTTGATTTCGCCTGACCAGTGCTATCAAAGTTCAGCGCCACTACTGGGAGAATAACGAATAAAATGTGTAACAACAAATTATTCAATTTTATTAATAATAATCAATTTTTAATAATTTTAATAGGAATATTATTTTTTAGTATAAATCGAAAAAATTATATAAACCAATATATTTTTTTTTTTATTTTGGCGATCAATTTGATCAGCAACTAATTTGCAGTCGCGATCAATTCACCGGCATGGGATATGTTGATTCAGGGTCATTGCAGTGTTTCATTCGCCACTATAGTAATGCTAAAAATACTATGAGTAATAAATTATCGATAAGTTACAAATTATTTTTGTTATTGCTAATAATAACATCAATATATTTATTATTGACTAAAAATAAGCTTTATTATTTTATTAGTTTAGAACCCAGTTTTTTTCCGAGAGAAAAAATATAATGAGTAATCCACATTACAATATACGAATAGTAGTTACTTCATTTCTTCCAATATAGACAATTTGTATTCTAATTAGTTAGTAATACTCGAGATTAAAATATTAAAACAAAAAGTTTTAAAAGGATGCCCTAGAATTATGAAGACGGGTCCAGCCATTGCAGTTGTAGGTGGGAATTTGGAAAGGTAAGAAATTAGATGGATGGGAATTTAACGTATATCGGTAAGCAACGATAAACCATTGGTAACGAAAAAACGATTCCGAGCGGAGTTCAGTTGATAGTGTTGCTTTGTCAATAATATACAAATTGGGAAATCGAAAAATGACTTCATTAAAGTACTTTAAGTAAGACCTTCCCAGTCAGATATCCCTTCAGAAAAAGTGCTACCATTAAAAATCGGAGCAAAATTTCTGGTAGAAAAGTAATTCACAGAAAAATAAGGCCATAATATTTTTTTACTAATACCTACATTTTCCGTTTTTCCGACATTTTATACAGATTTTTCCCAGAAATTAAGTAAACCACTTTTTTTTTGGTTTTTGTTTGGGTCTCTATATACATTCAAAATGTATTTGTCTTTTCCTTGTTTAGGTAAAAGGGGAAAAACATTTTTTTTCGGGCACACAGGTTTGAACTCGGAACCCCCAGGATGATAATAGGCAAAAAGAACAATCAAATCATAAAAAATATGGTATTAGGAGAACAACATAGAATTATTTAACTTAACATATAATATCCGCCTAATATCAGAACTTCAAAAAGCTATAAATTCGAAAATCCACTTAATTCTGACTTCGTTCTTAAATTGGCAATATACATTTGTTCATAAAAAAAAAAAAAAAATTAAAAACTTAGATTTGTTCAGCATAATTTTTTACTCAAACGATTTTCGTCAAAATTGAATATTGAAATTCCCTTATAAAAAAATAACTACATCAAACTCAATTTTTTGACTACAAAGTAAGACTTCTGTTCAATTTTGAAGCATTTCTGTTCAAGTCTAACAATTTTACCACAGAGTACCTACCGAATAAATATTACCTTCAAAACTCTTAAAAAAAAAATGTCTATAAATACCTCAAAAATGGCCCTAATTTTTTTAAAATTTCAAATAATGACCTCCTAAAAGTACCATCTGGACAATATTCTTTTTCGTAAATGGTACCGTGCGTATATATCTGAGCAAGATTTCTGGTAGGATGTTTGTACACAGGATAAAAACATCTTAGTAAAACCAATACATTTTTCGCTAAACTCGGAATATAAAATAATTATATATGTGTGTAATTATATATATATATATATATATATATATATAGATTATAATGTAATTCTCATTATAATACGCACCCTCCTTATAAGTAATTAAGTAATTCATAAACTTCTTTTTAGTAAGATAATTAAATATTAATCAAAACAATTTGTATTCGCAGTACCTAGGTCATTATTGATTTGTGTTTGATTTAACTAACAAAGTTAATAATAATTAGTAATAGTTAATTTAGCGTATGTATACTGACCAGAATTGCTTAACATAATAACGGTGCGATGAAAATGGAGACGTCATGATGGTTCATCAACAGAAAACTTAATATTTTACAAGCTCACGAAGTATTTGTACACTCGTACAAATATATTTTAAACTAGCAAAATTGAAGTGCATAAGGTAGCTATAGTTCTGATGAAGCTCCAAGAGTTACTGAACTATTTGACAGCAATGTTCCATGTGGCATACAGCTATATTACACGCATATTGTTACGTAAATTCAAGCTGACAAAAGAACAATAGAATATAATTTAGTCACGTTTGGGCTGCGTTGTAATATTAGGTATTCGGTCAAACAAACTTTATGCAGTACCAAAACAAGGTCCGATTGCACAAGAACGCGACGGTTTTTAAATTTAAATTTGTTTAGCCGTAGTGATATGATAAGTGGTTCCAACTGCCTGGTGTAAGACGCAAAATTGAAACGATACTTCCCCCTCTCCAATTCTAGCAATTAGTCGCTAAGCGAGAGCACTCGTCCACGGTAATCGGGTATTATGAATATTTTCGTCTGGGGTGACAAGAAAATTGTAACGGTTTGCGTTACTCAAATGTTTGGATCACTGGAGGCCATTCATAAGTTGTTTACATTCTTTTGCTATTGTATTTAAACCATTGATATATTATATACTCTATAGAATATTTATAGGAAAATTTAATTAATCATCCAAGATAAAATAATTGAACGAATTCATAAAAGAATTTAAACGTCTTGGATGATATCCAAAGTGGTTCAACGCGTCTACAATTTCACTATGCAATACATTCATTAATAAAGTTCAAACTGGTAATATAATTGCCAATACTTAAAATTAGGTAGTGGTTTTATCCAAACATAAGGGTAACAAAAATTAATAATAATGAAACATTTTAAATCTGCTAAATTTGTCTAAAAATAATCCAAAAAAATGTATACTTTCCGAGATAATAATAGTGCCTTACGATTGATCTCCTTATAGGATATGATTCTTTGAAAATTAACAAATAAATAAATAATACCATATTTAAATTAACTTGATAACTATTCTTATTTTACAAATCCAAAAAAAAAAAAATGCGAATAATGGATAATAATAATAGATAAAAGGGGCTGTACCTTATTTGTCGAAAAAATCCTCGCGAGCAGCAAAGCTCCATCACTAGAATCAAATTTTCTCCAATTTATTATTTTACGAAAAACAATTTTCTTTACTAAACAATAAATAACCGACTACTATAATAATCTCCTGAAATAATAAAAATAATGCGCGTGAATAGTATAACGTCATCTCGGAATAATAATATGTCATATTATGTCATAAAAATTCTTATCAAGTATGATTGGATCCAAAAAAGTAAAAAATGTAATTATAAATGTTGTTTAGTTCTATATTTTAAGTATTAAGATATTAATTTTATTGCTGAAAACCTCATTTGAGTAACACTTATTGAATAATAGTCTAGTTATAGTTTGTTAGTACTGGTATATAAATAGAATATAATCATTTTAAATAATGTGCATACCTATTTAATGGGTTTATTTAATTGTTTGGATCCAAATGTTCAAATTATTACTTGATAAGAAGAAAATAAAGTTAACACTATTCATGCGTATAGCGTAGTATATTCTGTTGTTTTTTTTATATGACTCACAGGGATAAGATCTTTAAATATTCAAATTTCAACTAAATGTATATGGTTTGGTATATCTACATTCTACAATTTTGAAAAATAACTGTTTATTAAATTAGTTTTTAGAAATTTCAAGCTACCTACTGTATACAGTTTATTCTTTTAAACATTTTAACGTTTCAACTTTTTATTTTCATTATAACCTCATGACAATTAATATTTTTTTTTTTTAGTTTACAGAATTTGATTGTTTTCATTATTTCAGGAAATGCGTACACATCTTTATGAGATAAAATACTATGCAATAATCTCTATTTCCCGGAAAATTAGACAAAAAAAGCAATTAACTTTTTGTAAGAGCAAATAAACATTTTCACTTCTTATGCGCGAGAGCCTCACGCTGAGTTTTTGTATTCATACTACGACTACATAATAGATACGACTTATGAGTAAGTGCAGTGATAACGCAAACCTTACGACCTTACGTTTCCACATATATATTACGTTTCAATATTATATGACAACAAACATAACATAAAAACCGCCTATTATTATTTATTAGAGTTTGTCATCTACACGTCATCATCATACGTTCAAAATGTTAAACATAATAATAATATATTTTACAATGTTGACTGCCATTTATATTTTGTTCGTTTGTTATACCAATTGAAATTTCTACCGGGCCTGACCTAACCTTATAGTCTTATTCGGTATTTGTCAACTCCCAACATTCCTTTCCTCGATAAAACCACTCGTAAACTTTATAAATATAACTCGTTATTTATACGTACCAGGGCTATATAATAATTAAATAATTTGTATACTCCTATTATAATACTCAATGCAATGTACGCAATGCTGTACAATAGTTTTTTTTTTTTTTTTAATACCTAACTACGTAATTTAATATGCCCGTTCATCGTATACGCTGGGCTGACTGAAGGGGGGAAACAAACTGAGCACCCGCCTAGGGCCTCGCATTTTCCCGACATTTTCATATTAGTTTTTCTATGTTGAATGCGATTGTTTTTTTTATTGTACCTATTTAAACTACTTATCACACAAAATAATAATTCTCTATGTACTGTCGGAAGTACATTTCATGATTTTTCTTAATTGTTTACAACTAAATAATTATAAGTATAATAAAATTGTATTGAAAAGGAATAGTCTGGAATTATTTGTTAACCGTAGATTTTGCTCAATATTTGGCTTAATCGACAAATGCACAAATGAAACTGAATCACAAATACACGATTTCATTTTCTTTTGAACTACCAAAATTACTTAAGTACTATAGTGAATTATTATTTATTATATTAGAATCACTGCTTGAATTAGGGGGTGTGGTGCGCAGAGGAAGGAGCTCCTCTATTCAGCAGAGCACCTTCTAGTTGCCGGTACTAAAAATAATACAAACGTATCAGATCTGATCGCAATAATATCGGATTTTTTTGTGTATATAACGGTATTATTTCGGTTCGAAATAATTGTACTTAGCGGAATTTTTCAGCAGTAAATATTTAAATTTTAAAAAACATATTGGCGTTTTTTGAACTAGTCATAGTTATTTGAAATTTTAGAGTTTTTTTTTTTCAATTATCAATTGGTTAATGTAGATAATATTTTGTTGGCTTCTAAACGATTTTGTTTATATAGCACTACACAAACAACCAAAACCAGTAGGCACGGTTTTATTTTTATAAAGATTAGATTTATATTATATATAAGATTTATAAAGTTCAATGATTAGTATTTTAAATAAACAGAATTTCTCCTTTTGTTTTCCGTTATAAAATGCGAGTAAAATTATTTTGGCTCTACAAAAATACAAATATTTTTTTTTACAAATTTGAAATTTTAGTTTATCAAAATATGTTTACTTTGGCTCTTATTATAATCGTTTTTGTGTCCAATAATTTAACGTTGCGTACAAATATAAACTGATTTACCTTTCCCCAATAAGATCCCGCCTTATTTTTTTTGAACAATTTTGTATCCGAATTAGTGATTAGCGTAGTCTGTAGATTTAATTTATTAAAATAGACATTCTCTTGACTGTGAAGGAAATCCTTTAAATTTGAATATATCTTATAGGATAATTGTTCCCGTATGAAATTTCAATACGTTGATTTTTCCGTGCGAATATAGAAAAACGATCTAAATAAATGTGACGAGTATTAACGATTTTATTATTTTATCTAATAAAAAGTGAAATAAGTACCGAGACTGTATAGAATTTTGGCATTGCACTCTTGACCTCAATATTATTGTTTTGGTAACCGGCACAAAACAATATATACAAGTACATATATGGTATCAGTATATTATTAGTTTAAATTTATACGTAACAAAATATTGTTATTAATATTGATAATAATCAGAATGTATTTGTAAAACAATTTTGAGAATAGAACTCCATTTAATTTATATGCACAGATTTGTAAACGTCTTTGAAAATAAAAAACATACTGTCCTTGTTTGAATAGGTATCCATACGCACTATATTTATGTTTAAATGACTTTCTATTTTTTCCTATTTTATAAAGACATTTTTCTAAAATCAAATATACTATAAAGCGTTCAATAAAAAAGCGTCAACGTAAAACGGTTATTTCTATGACAACTTTTACCAACTTTACAGGAACTTTCGTGGGACATTATTAATCTAATTTGTGTATTTAGGAGGTTTTGTAGCTAGTTAGTTCGGTTAAAAATCATCGAAAAATTGTTTTCTGATTTAACGTTCAGCTTTTTAGCCAGTTAGTAACTCAGTTTCGGAAAAAAAAACCAAACAAATTTTGACAAAAAAAAATATATATATATATTTTAAAGCTACTTGTTGTCATATAATTAAAATAACAAAGTTATAATAATAACATTATTATTATCAACAAAATATACAAAAGTAATTTATCAAATATTTTATATAAAAATGAATCCCTATTTCCCTTGGTCATCATATCACGTGAGAATGACTTGACTGGCTTTGCCGATTTTTTTTTTAAATTTTATTCGTAACTGTCCGGGTAAGGTTTTAACGAAAGAAAATTTCTGTAAAGTCAACCAAATAAGTAAAAAATTGCAAAAACTGATTAATGATATCTAGGATTTGAACTCGATACCATTACACTAACATTATAATCGTTTTTTTTCAGTTGTCGTTATCATCTCGTGCTCTATGGTAGACGTAGTCTTTATATACTCTATAGGCAGACCTATCGCCTAATTGACGTGCTTTACTTATAACACTACAAAATTGATTGATACTTCATACAAGTTAATTGTACAAAAATGTATAGTATTATAAAAGAAATTACTTTTTATTAATCATTTTTGTAGTGTTGGAAAATTGTATTTATAAATTGAATCCGTTAGAGGGGAGACACTATTAAACCTCTTTTTATTATTTTTGCGTTTTAATACGTTTTTAAATCTGGTCTCTAATTATGGCAATAAAGTTATTAATTTTGCATTAATATAAATTGTCAGCAGATACGTACAAAAAGGCATAAAAGGATCGCCATGCTATCTACAAGTGACGACTACAATACAGTACACGCGTTATCCAACTGTTGAGTGTCTCTATTCCCCAATAGATTAAGTTAGGATTTATTTCCTTTGAAATCTCTTCCTCTCCCGAAATTCGGTGTTTAGATATTTTTGGTATGAAAATCATGAAAAAATGTCACAACAGAACACTTTAGTCCACCGAAAATGGATTACCAATTCAAATCAGTTTATATTTGTACGCAACGATAAATTATTGGGAACAAAAACGATTATAATAAGAGCCAAAGTAAACATATTTTGATAAACTAAAATTTAAAATTTGTATAAATAAATATTTGTATTTTTGTAGAACCAAAATAATTTTACTCGCATTTTATAACGGAAAATAAAACCGTGTCTACTGGTTTTGGTTGTTTGTGTAGTGCTACAAAAACAAAATCGTTTAGAAGCCAACAAAAAATTATCTACATTAACCAATTGATAATTGAAAAAAAAAAACTCTAAAATTTCAAATAACTATGAATAGTTTAGATACGTTTTTTGAAATTTAAATATTTACTGCTGAAAAATTCCGCTATGTACAATTATTTTGAACCGAAATAATACCGTTATATACACAAAAAAATCTGATATTATTGCGATCAGATCTGATACGTTTGTATTATTTTTAGTACCGGCAACTAGAGTTGTATTCATTTTAAAAGTACCTATAATAGGTTAAAATTGAAAAAAATAAATTCATAAATCAGTTTCGCATCTCGCCGTACTAATATAATATAAAAATGACATATATATAAACCATAGATGCATATTTCATGTGTTATACGAATTACAAACAATACACCAACTACGCATTTATGTATTATACGTGACAACCCTGACAGAAATGTAGATCTGATAGGTGTTTCACTGCACTAGTTGGTGGGAAATTGGGAACATAGTTATTAAATTTATATCTGTACGCAACAATGAATCATTCCTAACTAAATACGATTCTGAATTCAAAGTTGGGTATATATACGTGTTTTGAAATGGCGTGATTTTTTTTTACCTTTTACGTTAAATTTAAACTTAAAACCGCTTAGAAAAAAAACTACTACATAATGGTCAGCTTTTGTTTTGACCACTGTGTACACCCTATAATAAACCTCGTGTCAAATTATCTATCACCTTGATCAAAAAAATTTTATCCGCATAAAACGAAATAAAAACTGAACAAAACTCAAATGCAATTATTAAAAATCCAGTATTTTTTAAACATTTTAACCACGAATATCCAACAACCGCTATTAGCTTATAGGACCGTACCAAATATAATGTTATAATAATGAAATTTACCATACGCAATAATAACTGAAAATATTCAGCATACCTAAATATTATTAAGATAAGTTCATAATGTAAAATTAAAATAATATTTAAAAACTATTCATATATAAATATTGTATTTTACTATACTTTCTATCTATGGCACAATAAATTTAATTTGATGTACATATCTATGATTTGATATTGGGACCTTGTTTATATTATGTTTTACGGTATAGATTTAAAATGTGTCCAAGACAGAAAAATCATAAAATGTATTATTCTCACTATTGGTATTATAATCGGGAACTACGAATAAATCTTAAGTTCTTAGTGTTTCTACTAGGCATACGAAAACCAATTTCAGCCAATAGCTCAGGACAGTCAATGAGGTTATTTAACATATTGTTTACTAACAAAATGTCTGTTAATTTATGTTTGCACTTAGTGAGTGTAGGCTGAAGAAGTTTTCAACAACATTAATAGACAACGGTATCTATAGTGATATATATATATATCGGAGATATATGCAATTCTCTTCAAAATTTATATTGAACATTAATAAGATCATTTATATATTTTAAATAATTACAAGACCAAATAAGTGTATCAAATTCAAGGTTAGATCTTACTAATGACATATATTATAGTGTTTTTAAACTAATAGGGTTGTTAAACTCTTTCGTATTTCTATAGATAAAACCTAGCATTTTATGATTTGTATATTATCTTTCTATGGTTTAATTTGAATGATAAACCATTTTGTAAGTTTACACCCAAGACTTTAATCAAATTTACTCTATCAAGAGAATAGTTATTAATTTGATACTGAAATGTTATTGAATTTTTACTGCATGTAGAAGAAATTACTTGGCATTTATTAATATTTAGAGGAAGATGATTTTGTTCACTCCATTGGAAAAATAATAAGTAGTAATACAAATTTGCAACACAATTTGTAATAGTAAAAAAAATTGTTTATCTCTTCAAATAAAAAAAATGATATAATAATGAACATTACAAAGTAACATCATCTCACGGCAATTATAATAAATGTTCAAAATTATGTCCTCCAGCTTCAATAACTGCTCCACGTTTTTTTTACGCGTTTGTGGCGTTGTAAAGATACGAATAATCCGTGCTCAAAATTTGGAATTCTTCCTCGATTCGCTTTTTTAAATGGATCAAATTTTGGATTGGCGTCTTGTAAACACGATCTTTGATAACACTCCACATGCTGAAATCACAAAGTGTGAGATCGGGTAATCTTGGGGGCCATTCCATAGTTCCACGGCGACCAATCCGCTTGTACAATACTAAATTAGTAAAATTAATATAATAGTAAATTGTAGAATGAATACTAAGTGTTGTAGCTACACTGATATTAAATAAATACAAACAAATTAAAATAAGTCATAATTAGTCATAAGTCAGATTTGATTAATATTGCAACTTCTTTTGCAATAAAGATAAATCATATCTGATTAAATATATAGTCGATATATACTGAAAATATTCTACCCATTTAATTTTTTTTCAATTTTCGACATTTTTGCAATTTTCCCACGTTTTTAAATCGTAGGCATTTATCGTTTATCTGGAATTTTCTAGAAACTTTGAGAGCCTTGCGAGCAATAAGCGTCTATGTAATGGTAATTAAATTTAACGTAGTAGTAGGATTTACGTGCTTTTATTATATTGGTACCTTAGTACATATTTCTTTAATCAGTTTGACAGCATAGTGAGCATATTCTAAGTAATGCCTAAAATTAAATCAACTTCAAATAATTTAAAATACAGTTAATAAATTATATTTCTTTAAATAATAAATATATATTTACATATTATTTTTTGCTTATTTGGGTAAAAATGACCATGCTACATTTCTAGATAGTTCCAATATTGTATATATTAATCATTTATTGATAAAAAAAATCTAAATTTTGCTCAGTTTTACAATTATAAATTTATAATTTAATATATTAATGACATTTCAATTGTTTCCTAATAAACACATTATCACACAATCAGAATATTTGTATGCACAAACATTCTCTCATATGATACATTTTTTTTTTTTTATGTATATGTAAATATGGTCATATTCTACAATGATTTTACATAAAAACCGGGCCCTAGTTTTTATATTGTTATTACTATCATTTTAAGTCAGGACTATGAAACGTCTATTTCAAATTTAATGATACAGTTTAATCAAAATTGTCGTCCTGCAAAATATGAATAAAGAATGAAAGGTATTCTAAAAATTTGAGCTAACACTTCAATAACCCCACAGTTTAAACAATAGTAAAATTCAAAAAAGTGCTAATAATATTACATTAATTACTTAAGTAGTACAGTAGAAAATCGATTAACCATCACTCTTTGTTATTTGTCATCGGTCACCGTATTACTTTTTTGTAAAAATGCGAAACATTGCTGCTCAAAAAGTTCATACCTCACAAAAACAAAAGATGATAGATTATTTTGTTTAGTATTTTTTAGTATGGTATAATTTTTGTTATTTTGTATTATTATTATTTTTGTCTGCAATAGACACATAAAACATACATGTTAATTGAAAAATGCCTGTTAACCGTCATAGTCCCGGTCCCATGACTGACGGTTAATTGTGTTTCTACTGTACTTATTATTTAATAATAAAGAGGTTACAACACCAATCATTTATAGAAGGACTAACAGTATTAAGCATTATAAGTATTATGTAATACAATGGTAAGTATAATTTTAAGTAAAAATATGTAGCAAATAGCATATAGTTTACACGAGTACTGTTAATTTAAAAATAATATTATTGTTATTAGTTAAACATTAATATGGTTACAATTAATATTAATAACTACACAGTTATATGTTTATACATTTTTATTTGTTATTTTTTTATTAAATTATTTAACAACAAACTATATTTTAAGTTTAAATGATTGATGTTGTAATCTTATTCAACTTAACTAGAAAAAAACAATTTAAAATAAAACATATACATAGGTATGTAGTTTTGAAAATAGTTTTCATAGTTTTTCCTTGCAGTTGGTTGAACTTGATTTTTGTCAAAGCTTTTTTAGAAACAATTTGATTACTTAAAAATAGACAGTAAAAATCTTTAAGAGTAATATAGTTAAATACTAAATATAAAAAATAATTAAGAATAATTATACACCTAATTAATTTTGTCGTCAAATAAAATATTGAAATACAATACTTTTATTTTGACTTGTTTCAAATTGCAAATCGTACTTCAAAACAATACTTCAACAAATCACCCTAGTTATCATGTCCTAACTATTATAATATTGAAATTTTATCATACCGTTTCATCCTTATTTTATGGTTGTCCTTGAAGATAGCAAATTAGCATACGATTTTTAAACGTATCCAACAAAGTTCAAATCATCTAGCTAATGATATTTTTAGTTACCTAATTTAGAGTACCTTAGATCAGCAATATGCTGAATTTTAGTACGAACAAATATGACTGGTACAGTTTTATGGTGTAACTTGATTGTAAATCAAGTTTGGTAGGTAGTTGTTATCAAAATATGAATAATATTGATAGGTATAACAAGTCAGTAACGCATAATATTCGGTATTCCATAAACATTAAAACAAAACTTATTGAATCACCTGAAATCAAAAAAAATTAAATTTGTATAATTTTTACCTACCATAACAACATATGTTTTTATACATTTTGTGCAGATACCTAGCGAAAACTTACCAATTAAGTGCACATTGTCTTCGGCAAGCATCCAACACACACGAGTAGGTACGAATTAAAATTACTTAAATGTTTGATAAATTATTAAATGAAATACAAGATCATAAAATAAAAAAAAACCATTTACGACGTGATTACCGTATTGTAATTTTAATTGTTATAACAACTGAAATAGACACTGTATTAGTATAACTGAAAAAATAATGTTTTTAATCGGTGATCTTAATGTGATGATAACGTGTTATCATCATATGATAATGTACTATCATCATAAGTCACACAGCGATTTTACCCGATCGATAACATAGATCAGCGGTCGCCAACGTTCATGACCTCGCGGACCACTAAATCCGTAACTACAAATTCTATGAACCACTATAAGGTTTATGGTGTCTGCGCGACAAGTCTCAGGTCCTTTTTATTCGGATGTTTTGAACCAACAGTTTTGTTTCCGTAAATAACGTTCCACCAACGAGAAAAAAATAAATTTATAAAATAATTTTAAATGGTTTTTTTCCTGTGTGTAACACGATTTATTAGGTTTTCAAATTTCTCCCGCGGCCGCCACAATGTTCTCGGGGGGACTATTGGTTGGCGACCGCCGACGTCGGATTATAATTATTTGTTATAACCATCGCTGTCGCGAGTCGGCCTTGCCGTCTGTCTGTCGTAGCGATGATCGGTTATAACGTTTATACATTGCGAGCAATACTGTTATCACTTAAAACTCCCGGTGCAACGAATAAAACTGTCGGCGTGCAAGGAACTGCGCGGGGAGTTTTAACATTAAACCACTACTCACTATCCCCTCCCCCCCCGCCTCTCTACGGGGCCGATAACTTAAAAGTGGAGTATCTCGTCAACGGGATGACAGAAATCGAACATTTCAACACCGAAATTTCTTTCAAATGACACTCCGTCCGTTTAAGGCATTTTCATAATAGGCGGCCGTTTGAAAGCCAAAAGTGGGGGGAGGGGCGGTCATTTCATCTCCAAAACCGAAGGGTACAAACCGATAACGTAACATTTCAGAACCGTTTGATTCTTAAGTGTTTATAAATTTAAAAAAAAAAAAAATCTCGAAAAAAGTTAACACTTTCCGAGAGACAATGAGGGTTTCCAGTTGAGTGTGCATCATCCCGTATACAAAAATATGCACGTGTGTATACCGGATAGGTCCATGGGTACACCGCGTATTCGAATCGAACGCCTGGGTTTCCGGACCGAATGCTGTACACAACGTTTTGATCCCGTATTCTGACATCCACGGCTCTTTTTTACAAATTAAAATTTTACAATTTTAATTTGTTCTGCCGATTTTCAATGATAAATACCTCGGCAGGTCAGTCGACCCACACGCATACATGTTTGAAAAGCGATTTTTTTTTTCGCTTTACAAACACAACGCATCGGGTTTCTAAATAACTATGCAAAATAATACCATGACGTGTGCACATACGCGAAACACGTAATAAGAAAACGCACTTTCGATAGCCAACCGATAATATTTAAATACAATAATAACGTAGAATAGTTTGACGAAGTTCGGTGTTTTTTTTACCTTTTTTTTTTCTCTGTTCGTTTCAAATCCGGAACGCCTATTTAAGTGGCCCGTATTGTAAACAGTAACTACCTGCCGGTCAATTACGCCGTTCATTAGGGAACCGTTTATAAACCGTTTCGACTTGTGTATCAGATTCAAGGTCGGACACGTATTTTTCTTTTTTTTTCTTATCACTTATCACTATAGACCGCATCGGCACGGCGTTTTGTCGGCGATTTTCTCGGTTGAGTTTTCACTACAAACGTGGGCCCCCCCCCGTCCGCAGTGCGCGCTTGATGGAAATCAAGGTCGGCCAAATTTACGTATAAACGACAACGTGTACATTACCGTGTATAAGACTAATACGCGTATACATTATGTGTTTTTTTTTTTGTACATTTATTATACGCATAAATATTGTTAAGGCATTCATTTTTTTTTTTTTTTTTTTTTTTTCCCTGACAAACGCCCGACGTGTTACGAAGCGACATTTTTCGTGTGCCTATGCTTATGAACTATTGTAAATGTATGAGTATGATTAAATAATAAGTAACAGTTATTGTTATTATAATTTTTTTTTTTTTTTTCCATTGCGATCGGGAATACCGGTGTTGACCGACACTATTCCACTATTGTGCCGGCCAACCGATTTCCCGGAGGAAAATAATCGATTCAAAAAACGGTACGTCGACGTTTGTTTAGAACGGTTGAACGCCGTTGCGCGCTAATGCAACGGCCACGTCACATGACCGATTGACGATTTCGACGTATCGACCGCCAGCATTCATCGCCCTGTTAAAATGCGTTTTACGCCCGAGCGAACGTCGGTACCCGTTCGCGTTTCGCGTGCTCGTTTCGGAACCGTCCGCGGTACAGCGGACGCAAATCGACGTCATAAGTCGGTCTCGCGTCCGGCCAACGACGACAACGAAAATAACACGCGTACGGACCGCGTGCCGCGCGAACGATACGCCGATTACCGCATTTACGGATTACGCGTGCCGAACACCGCCACACACACCCCCACCCCCACCCCCACCCCGCCGCCGCCCTCACCGCACGATAGGGTCGATATAAACGCCGTGTTACACTGGCCATTGACGTACGCCGGACGACTTTTCTTCGGGTCGATTGCCCGTGTGTTACGTAAACACTGTTCGGGCGCGTATTTCTTTGGGTGAAAATCGATTGACGAACTTTCATTGTAATCATACGTTACCTCGGAATCCAAACGAAACGTCGATAATCGGACACGCTGTTATTGTTTTGTTCGCGATTGATTCCCCGATCTTTCTTCCTGTCCGAAGAAACATTCACCGTCGGCGGTTGCTGAAACAAACACGAGTAACAACGCGAATTATACAAAACGCAACCACTGATAGTGTTATCGCCGGATTTTATCAATTTTACCGCGTTACCCATCGAATATTTTACCAGCGTGTTATGACCGTGAAATGACCGCACAACCGTAGGAAATGGCCGAAATGCTTTTCCCGATCAATCAACTGGAATGGTTTCGCCGGTTTGGGCAGAAAGTTTATAATTTTAAATTTTCACCGCATTTTAAAGAGCACTGCCGGTTAGATGTTTTTGAGGTTAGGAATTTAACAAGTATGATAATATC